ATCTCATGGCTGTCAGAAGACCAGAGCCATAGACTTCCTCTTTCTGCGCCACTCTTCGAGCCGCATCGATACGTAAGGGTCCTGGGGTTAGGATGTTCCAACCTACTTCACCCTTGACCACCAGCAATAATTTCGAGCGCCAGCAACATACCGAAACCGGGGGGGTTTCACATGTCGGGCCCTGGGAGGCGATACTCGTTCGACACTTCGTCAGCGCGCCAGGCAGACACTGTCTCGATACTGTTCTGGGAGCTCGATCTTGTTTCTGGGACGTGGTCCTTGAATTCGATGGGAGAAACAAAATCCAGCGGGATGGGAAAATGACCACAGCCACTGCTTTTTGTTTGCGCCGCCTTCCAGCCAGCCGAAAAAGAAGCAGTGGTTGGTGTCATTTGCCTGGTGCCAAGCTTAACGAAAATGACCACAACCACTGCTTAGTTTGTGTTGGCCTGAAGGCGGCAACAAAAGAAAAGCAGCGGCGATGGTCGTTTTCTCGTTCCGCAAATCCTGGGGCCCGGAATCACGCAAGACCACCCTTTGTGAGCACAACAAGCGACGCCAGGATCTCAGTGTCACCGCCGCCGTCGGCGTCGTCGCTCGCTTTCGTCGTCGTCGTCGTCGCCGTCCTCGTCGTCGCCCTCGCTTTCGTCGTCGCCGTCGTCGTCGCCGTCGTCGTCGTCGACGGCGCGAGGTCCCAGGGGCGGGCGGAGAGGCGCAGGCGGCGGCCAGGGAGGGCGCCACGGAGGCGCAGCAGGCCCGCGAGGACGCCGAGCACGTCCGCCGCGCCAGGGAGTTCGCGGGCGCGGCCTGGCTGGTGGTGTGCCGCGCCGCCTTCGACGAGGATCGGCGGCGAGCCGGGAGGAGGAAAAGGTGCAGCGAAACACGCCTACGTGTCCCTCGTTTTCCCCTTCTCTGGGCCCCCGAGGAGGCCCTCGTCGCCACCGCTGGATTCGCCCCGAAGTCCTGGTCAGAACGCACCCCGGGAGAGGTCTGGGGTCCGGGGAGCAGCGGGAAGAGGCGGGCCGGAGGAAAGGGTAGAACAGGGAAAGGGGGGATGGCGAAATCTGCTGCATGCAGCTGCTTTCCGCCCCGCCGCCGAGCCCAGTCGATGCATGGGCGCCTCCCAGCGCCAGGAGGCGCCAGGGAAACCAGCTAGGTGCTCTGATTCTCTACCCTGCCGTTTGCTATCCTACCCTTTGGCCCCCCCCCCCGCGAAAGAGGGTCGCGCCGGATCTCGTATCCCCCAGCGAGAACGGCCATTACCGGGGTGGGGGGGCGAGGTGGCTGGTAACGCGTCACGATTCGCGTCGGCGCCGATTTATTTACCCCTCGCAATTCCCAAACGGCGCTGGCGCGAACCGTGACATTACCAGGTGGGGCGGGGGAGGGGTGGCGTCCTCGGTAACGGCCGCTATCGCGAATCATGACGAGAATGCGCTCGTCGAGGTTCAAGGTTTTCGCGCGTTTGCTTCGGTTCTCGGCGGGTTTCCTCCCAGCGGTTGCGCTTCGTCGAGAGGCTTCCGGGGGTGCCTGGGTCGTCCCGAACGGCCGCCGGAGAGCCGAGGCATTGCCCGAAAACCAAGCTCGGCAGCGCGCGGGGTTTCTCGGAAGCCATCGCGCCTTCTGAGAAGCCGCCTGAGGAGGAGGGGAGGAGGAGGAGGAGGAGGAGGAGGAGGAGGTGGAGGAGGAGGAGGAGGAGGATTGCGGGGCTCCTCGGAATGCGCGAGGGCTGCTGAGAAGACCGACAGCGTTTCGAGCAGGCGAGCCCCCTCTCATTTCCCCCCGGGGGGCTCGCCGCCGACAGGAGGCGCTGTTCGCCACCCTGTCCGACGTCCTCGAGGTGCTTAGGATGCAACTCTTGGGAGGTGGAATACAGCATCAGCGCTGGCACTACCCGTGGTCGAAATCCGGCCCAATCCGCTACGTCATCCGGCTTGTTTCAATGGTCCCATCAATCGGGCTCGATCGCCCGTTCAGTCCTTCTTATACCAGAGCCTCCCAGGAGTTGTCTCCCAGAGGTGCCCCGTGGCTGCATCCGGCTGCTCGACGCCGACGCCCCGCCGGAGGATCCGCCCCAATATTGACATATACATATACATATACATATACATACACAGCTACATAGACATATACATATACATTTACACACAATTACATATACATATATACACACCTACTCACGCATATGTATATACAGACACTCTCCAGCGGATTGTTCCTTGGCCTCATCATGGGGAGGGTGGCGGTGTATACATCACGATCAGAAGCAAACTACCTTACCCACCGCCCCCCCTGGAAAGCACAAGCGAAACTCGTCGGAGGGTGCTTGTGCACACTACTCTCGAGGTGTAGATCGGCCGCGCGCAGACAGGGGCTCGGGAGGGTGGGGAAGGCCTCTTCGAGGCACCCCTGCTTCTTCGACGGCGCTGGCCGTACCTATAGATGTAAGGCCGGCGCCTTCTAATGAGCAGCCTCATTCTAAGAAGTGTTCCCCATCCCCCTGCCCCCTTGTGCGCGCAGCCAAGATCGACCAACAAACAAGCGACACCGCTCCACCTGCGGCCCTTCACGTTGCGCTGCGGCTCATCGGGCTCCGCAGCGTGACCACCACGCAACGTCCCACGCCAGATGTCCTGGCATACGCTGGGCCACCCGGAGCCGTTTGTTCTCTGGCCCGTAAGAGGTGGAGGGTTTCTCCGAAGGGCTTTGGCGACCCGTCCTCCTCCTCCCTCCTCCTCCTCCTCCTCCTCCTCCTCCTCCTCCTCCTCCTCCTCCTCCTCCTCCTCCTCCTCCTCCATCTCCTCCCCCTCCTCCTCCATCGCCTCCCCCTCCTCCTCCTCCTCCTCATCCTCCTCCTGAAGCAAAACGAGCCTCCCAGCGGTCGGCCCCGTTGCAAACCCTGCAGCAAGAGGAGGAGCCGCCCTCGCGCACCGCCACGGCCTCCGCGGGCCCCGCCGCGGGCCAGCGGCTGCCCCCGCAGCAGCCCGGCGCGGCCAGATGCGGCGCCGCGGAGGCCCCGCCGCAGGACCGGGAGCGGCCCGGAGGCCGCGCGGCGGGCGCCGCGGAGGCCCCGGCCGCGCCGCTGCGGGGCACGCGGCAGATGCGGCGGGCCGGCAGGCACCGCAGCCGCGGCAGGGCGCCGCCCTGCCGCCGCCGCCGCCGCGCCGCCGCCGCCGCCGCCGCCGCGCCGCCCGCCGCGCGCCCGCCGCCGCCGCCGTCGTCGTCGTCGTCGTCGTCGTCGTCGTCGTCGTCGTCGTCAGTCGTCTGTCGTCCGTCGTCTGTCGTCTGTCGTCTGGCGTTTGTCGTTTGCTGTCTCTCGTCTAACTATCGTCGTCGTCTGTCGTCTAACATCTGCCGTCTGCCGTTCGTCGTCGCCGTTGTCCGTCGTCTGTCGTATGTCGTCTACCGTTAGGTGTATGTCGTCGTCGTCGTCGTTGTCGTTTGTCGTGTCTCGTCGTCTGTCGTCATCTGTGTCGTCGTCGTTTGTCGTATGTCGTCTGTCGTCTGTCGTCTGTCGTCCGTCGTCCGTCGTCCGTCGTCTGTCGTCGTCGCCGTCGTCGTCGCTGTCTGTCGTCGTCGTCGTCATCGTCGTCCGCCCTCGCCCCCTGAGATCCAGGTTCGGCTGCGAAATCCGAACCATGCCCCCGCCGATAAACGATTCAGGCAACCTGATTGGCGGCGGGGGTGGGGTTCGGATTTCGTCGAGTACGTGACCCCCGCTTCCCATCGATTCAGGAGAATCGATGGTTGGTGGAGCTCGGGTTCGCACATGGCGAAATCCGAATCCTACCCCTGCCTCCCATCGACTCATGGGAATCGATGGTTGGTGGGGGTAGGGTTCGGATGTGTCCACCTACGGCGTCGCAATCTGTCCACGCTGGGCGAGTCTGTCCTGTCCTGGGGTCCTGGGGCTCTCGCGCGTCGATGCAGCTCGGAACATGCCGCAGAAGGATGGGTCCAGGGTTCCGGTCGAGTTTTTGATTGAGCTCTGCCGCATTTTTGTTCGTGGCGTCGGATCTCAGTGTCGCCGTCGTCGGCGGCGTCGGCGGCGGCGTTGGCGCTGTCATCGTCCTCGGCGGCAGTGTCGAAGTCTTCGTCCTCGTCGGCGGCGTCGTCCTTGGCGGCGGCGTCGTAGTCTTCGTCATGGTCAGCCGCGGCGGCGTCAGCGCCGTTCGTTCCTTCGTCGTCGTTGTCGTCGTCCTCGTCGGCGGCGGCGTCGGCGTCGTCCTCGTGGGCAGCGTGCTATTCTCGATGCCCACCGCTCTCGTGTGAGGGTGGCCGCAGGGCCCGCTCGCGCCCTCGCGCGAGCCGCCAGCGAGGCTTCTGGCGGGGGCAGCGTGAGGAAGCCCTCCCTCGGCGGCGAGCGAGGGGGGGGGGAACTGGTACCCACAATGCTACCTTTCCCTCGTTTTCCCCTTCTCTGGGCCTCCCAGGAGGCCCTCGTCGCCACCGCTGGATGCGCCTCGAAGTCCTGGTCAGAACGCACCCCGGGAGAGGGCCAGGGAGTAGCGGTATCGGTGCCCTCTGATTTCCCCTGATTTGATAATTGACAGTGTGTTTCGGCAGCGGGCGAGGGGCGGACGTGAGAAAGAGACGGCCTTCTCAGAAGGCGGCGGGTTTTCTCAGAAGCCCTCTGGCCTTTGAGAAGTGTTATGGTGTCTTCGGGGAAGGCTTAGGAAACTCTTCAAAGGCCCAGGGACTTCCGAGCCTCCTAGGAAGGCCTCCCTTCTCGCTCCCCCCCAGGCGCGCCGCCGACTCCCAGAGATGGCTAATTTCAGACGGCCGTTTTCATTCGACTTCGGCAATCGGGATCTCAGGGCATTTAGGGGTCTGAGGATTTCTCGTCTGGGCACGTTGTTTGTGGCCTGCTGCTCTGCTCGGTCGCGCAGCACTTCGTGCGTTCTGGTTTTTGACGCTGTCCTACCCGGAGAGAGGCTGGGAGGATGGATGGATGTTTGTGGTGCGCAGGTCACCTGATACGTGTGCGCGCTGGAGGAGGAGTAGGAGGAGGAGGAAGAGGAGGACCGGTAGAAACCCAAGACTCTACAACGATGTTGGAATAAACCCTTCCTCCAAGCTCCCTCTTCATTGGCCCCATACAAGGGTTCATTTCCACTGATGGAACTGTCTCGTTGGGAGAGAACCGTTTGAAGACTCTGAAGCGTGCCAAAACAATATTCTCAGATCTCCAACGCCACGAGTCTACATGATTGTTCTGTCTTGACGATATGGAATCGTGCCAGAACGCAATTCCTGGGACTTCAGCACAGTCGTTGCGCCCTCACAACCCTGAGCCCTTCAAAGCACAATTTCTGACCATGGGAATCCGTGGAACTCTTGCAAACGTTTGAAGCGAACTTCCGCGGAGCTGCCCTCCATCCGTGAAGCTCATGCAACTGCTTACAAGGCAGGGAACGAGCCCAACGCTGCTTGGTAATTTGGTTTTGGCTCTTGGTTAGCGTTTCGTTGTGTTTCCGTTGTGTTGTTCGTTGTTTTTTTTCTACACGCACTTTACATTTAAATGGTTTCGGGCTGCCTGTTTCGTTGTTCGTTTTGGTTTGCCTTGAATGCAAGGTTGCGTTTCGTGGTTCGCTTTGTTTGCTCCGTTCATTCCGCTGTACGTTTCGTTGTTCGTTTCGTTTCGCGCCGCCGTCGTCGCTCGATTTCCTGATTGCGTGGAATCATATATTTTTGTTTCGTTGTTCGTTGTGTTGTTGACTTGGTTATGCAGTTTCGGTGGCCCGAGGCCGAACATGTATTTTCCTCACGCTTTGGTTATAGCTTTGGTTATAGTTTCGGGGCATTCGTTGCGTGTTTCGTTGTGTTGTCGTTGTTGCTGCTGTTTAGTTGCGCTCCTGGCCAGAGCTTCAACGTGGCCAAACCTCTGCCGCAGCCCCAGCCATGGCGGCGTTCGTCTGGGTTCGTTGTGCGTTTCGTGTTTCGTTCGGTCTCTGCCGCTCTGCGCCTGGCCACGACCAGTTTCTCGGCGTTCGCTTCGCTTTTCGTTTCGTTGCTTCCCCCGTTATTATGGTTGCGCTGTTGGCCTGATCTTCAGCCTGGGCCTCAGCCTCTGCCGTAGCCTCAGCCGTCGATCGGGTGTTCGTGTCGTTTTTCGTTCCGTCTCCGTCGGCCTTCGCCTTGGCCGCAGTTGCCAGGCGTTTATTGTTTTGTTCGTTTCATTGTTTTCTCCCCCGCCTGGGCCCTGGACTCCAGGGCCCTAGATTCCTGGGCCCTAGACTCCTGGGCCCTAGACTTCATGGCCCTGGACTCCTGGGCACTAGACTCCTGGGCCCTAGACTCCAGGGCCCTGGGACTCCTTGGCCCCAGACTCCAGGACCCTAAACCCCTTGGTGCTAGACTCCTGGGTCGCAGACTCCAGGGCCCTGGACACTCCTGGGCCCTCGTCTCCCCTGGCCCTGGACCTCTGGGCCCCAGACCTCTGGGCCCTAGACTCCAGGGCCCTGTAGGCTCCAAGGCGCCCCAGGCTCCTCGGCCACACCAGATCCCCAGAGTCCTGGGCCTCTGGATTCCTCGACCGCAGCTTCCGGAGCCCCAGCCTCCGAGGAGGAGGAGGAGGAGGGGGAGGAGGAGAGAGGGAGGAGGGAGGAGGGAGGAGGGAGGAGGGAGGCGGGAGGAGGGAGGAGGGAGGAGGAGGGAGGAGGGAGGAGGAGGAGGGAGGAGGAGGAGGAGGAGGAGGAGGAGGAGGAGGAGGAGGAGGAGGGAGGAGGAGGAGGAGGAGGAGGAGGAGGGGCTCCCGTCGCCGCCCTCCGTCGGCCCCAGCGCGGGTCCCCGCCCGGCCGCCCAGGGAGCGCCCGGAGCCCGGTGCCGGCGGGGGCGGCAGCGGCGAGCCCGCGGCGGCCGCGCGGCAGCCCGCGGCGCAGGGCGCCTCGGATCCCGCGGGTCGTCGCCGTCGGTCGGTGAGGTTCGCAGTGAACTGCAGAGGAGGAAGTATAGTACCCATGGCTCTACCCTTCCCTCGTTTTCCCTTCTCTGGGCCTCCTAGGAGGCCCTGGCTCTACCCTTCCCTCGTTTTCCCTCGTTTTCCCTTCCCTGGGTTCGCAGTGAACTTCAGCGGAACGGGGTCGTCGCCGTCGGTCGGTGGGGTTCGCAGTGAATCAGGAGGAAAAGAAACACACAGACACAATTAATCCTCGATTCCCTGGAAAATATGGGAAAATATGGGAAGTGGTTGGGAAGACAGAAACCAAGAAAATATTGGAAAATATGGGAAATAGTTTTATTTGTGTGTATTTATTTGTATGTCCGGGGGCCCTTTTGTGAACTTCAGAGGAACGGGGTCGGCTGCGCCGACATGGGTGCGTAAGCTGCCCGCGTAAGGTCACGCGTGAGCGCCCTCGCTTTGCGTGCGGCGTGTCGCGCCGGCGGCCCGCGTAGGCCGCCGCGAAGGGTCGCTGTGTCATCTCGCGTTGGATCCCTTCATCAGGCGGCGAGCCCAGAGGAGCAAGTAGTACCCATAGCTCTGACCTTCCCTCGTCTTCCCTTCCCTGGGCCTCCTGGGAGGCCCTCGTCGCCACGGCTATATGCGTCTCGGAATCCTGGTCAGAACGCACCCCAGGAGAGGGCCAGGGAGTAGTGGTATCCGTACCTTCTGATCTTCCCAGATTTGATAATTGACAGTGTGTTTCGGCGGCGGGCGAGGGGGGGGGAAGTGCGAAGGAGAATGCCTTCTCAGAAGGCGTCGGGACTTCTCAGAAGCTCCCGTGCCACCTGATAAGTTGTTGTTGAGTTTTCGGGCCAGACTGAGTAAGCTCCTCAGAAGGCTGGATGACCTCCGAGTATTCTGGCAAGGCCCGCCCCTGCTCACTTCCCCCCCACTCGCTGCCAATACAGTAATAGATTTGATAATGAACAGTGTGTTTCGGCGGCGAGCCCAGGGGGGAAGGGACGAGGAGAAGGCCTTCCCAGAAGGATCGGAAGCCCTTCAGCCTTCTGAGAAGTTGTCAGAGCCTGCCCCACAAACGCAGCAGAGCTACTCGGAGGGCGCGGGGGCTTCGGAGAGGCTTCGCCGCCTTCTCAGAAGGCCTTCTCCTCCTCCCTCCCCCCCCCCCTCGCCCGCCGCCGAAAGATCAAGAAATCCGATGTCGTGATTTTTTTAATGAGGGGTCCCGGGAAGTCTCGACCCATTCCTCAGGACCAGTTTTTCGTCCTGAGTCGTTTTTCGACGGTCCCGAGGCCCAGCGAGGGCCCCTAGGGGCCGAAATTTGAGAACAACCTCCGTTGTGATTTGTTTTAATGCGTTGGATCTCTGGGGGCCCATCTGTGATCGTCGCTCAGCTGCGGCACCGTGGAGCACATCGGTGCGCGCACTCCCTTGCCGGGCGCCGCCGCCGGTCGAACGCCCAGAGTTCGACCGATATTGAATCCGAAGCCTCCTTGCGGAAGATGTCGGCTACGTGGGCCTGAGGCCCCGGCCCATCTATCTATCTGACTGAGCGAACCCCCGATCAGGCGATTACCAAGTCCACGGCCCGTCCAACCTCCAACCTAAAGCCAGCATCGCGGCGACCACGTCCGAGACTGGTCCTCGGTGGCGCACCATCTGCGAGCTGGCCCCAACGCTTGAATGCGCCCAACAGCACCCTTCCAACACCTGCGCACGCGACCGAGATCCTAGTCGGGGACAGGGGTTGCAATCTGAAGCCGCGAATCTACAACCCCGACAACAGCGTTATAGGCAGAGCCCTTTAACTTGTACGGGGCCACCCAGGCCACAAGAGAGGCGAGGCGCCAGCCTACAAGGCCCATGGAAAACGTTTTGGCCGAGGCCCGACGCCGTTGCAAAAGGGCAAAGGGCCGGCGAGGCCGCCCTGAACGCTATCCACGCACGCGAGACTCTTTTTGGTTGGGCGGGGGGCTGCGGGAATGCCTTTCGGTCCTGCCGTGTGCGGTGCAACCCGGGTCAGTTTGCGGGGGCGGCGTGCGCGGCGCCGAGCCTCGGCCGCCCTGCTCGCGCGTCTAGGCTTGGCCCCTCGCACCCCGCGTCCGCGCTCGGCGCCGAGATCGGCCGCGACGGAGGCAAGTGCGACCTCGAGGCCCTCCGCAGCCAAGCCGACTTGTGCATCTTTGATCGCAGAGAGCTCCAAGGCTATGACAGTGGACTTCGATGCGAGCTCTAATCCTTCAGCCGCGCACTGCTCCACAGAAGAGACGCCCGTTCTGACGAGCTCAGCGGCCTCGCCCCAGCGAAGTCATTCCGCTCTTTTGGCATCACCTACCCGCGGGCGGAGGCAGAGGGGGCTGTTGTTCTCCGCAGTATGCTGACGCCTCGAACGCACCTACGACTCGGCGGCTTCAAGGACCCTGCGGGCGCCCGCCACGAGCCCCCCGCGGGGGGGGGAAGCGCGGCGCATGCGAGCCCCCAACCCGCAAGAGACGGGGCCTCATATGCATGAGAGTCGCACGGGCAAGGCGCACCGAAGAGACCCGAGGCCGACGATGCGACACACGACTCCCCAACAAAAGCGCATCGATTCGCATAATGCCTCGGGCGCCGATCAGTGCTCTGGAAGCAGTGCGCAGAGGGAGCTGCCGTGTCTGCGCCAACTCATAGCAGAGCCCCCCGCAGGTCGCTATTGCCCTGCGCTGCAGCGCTCCGCGGGCCCGAGCGCATCTCGGCAGAGACCTCCGCTGGGCGAGATCTCATGCGGCCCCGCAGACGGCCCTGCCAAGCGAGACGCCCGATCGTGCAGTCCGTGCGCGCGCCAGGCTCGCTTGCAATGGCGATGGCAGCCGCGAGCCACTTCCGCGGCCAAGCAACGATATGCCCCACCCCTGAAGACGCCGAAGGAATTGTGAACGACCAGAGACAAGGAGCCACCGCGCATCCCGTTGTCTGACTCCGTCCATGCCCATGGCCTTGGTTGGAGGTGCGGCTCGCAAAGCAATCCCCAGATCCTCCGGCGCGAGCAGCCCCGCATCCTCGTGCCTCGCCAAGTCCCGAGCCTTGGGCGCCATTATTATACAGCTGGACCTCCATCGAATCTGCCGGGAGGCCATGGGCGTTCCCCTGTAGCCTTCTTGGCCAGCATGAGCTTGCCAGGGTCTTCCGCGCTGCCGCGCGCAGACGGACCCAGCTGCGCTTGATCTGCCGCCCTCTTGGCCGCGCCGGCGAAATCTTTTTAGACATTCACGGCTGATTCCTGCCAGTGCGCGAAGCCCGCGGGCCCACCTGATTTCGCGGCGTTCGGGGAGAGGCGCAATCTGCGAGATGGCAACCGCAGGCGCCAAATTACGAGCTCGCAGGTGGCGGCCCCTGACGCTGTCTTGGAGGTCATCAGGCAGGTTTGCGATTTCGGCGCAGTGGCCAGCGTCAGTAGACAACCGGCGCACGCCCTCGTCCGCGGCAGCAGCCCAGGGTTTCGGTCCATCCAACTGCTGCTGCTGAGGCTTACTAAGTTCAGCCCGCCCCTGAAACTGATGGCGCCCCTCAGGCGGTATCTTTGACAAATCTACGTAGAAGCGTGCCATGGCGCCGGCCCAACTGGACAAGGATCCACCTGGCCGCGTCGCCTCGTCGAGGGCATATAGGAAAACCGAAGACTCGCGCGCGCACGGGGAAACCGGAGGCCGCAGCGCGATGCCCCTCCTCTTGGAGAGTAGTCCATGACAAAGATGTGCCTTCAGGCGACCACTTCTTGTGAACGCCGGCGAACGATGCGCCGCCCGAGTCTGCGTCGACGCCCTTCTCCACTTGAGGTTCCAGATCATCGGGCGCGCCGGTCGGGGCGCCGGCGTCGCCTTCAGCGACGGGCCCCTTCCCGCCCCGCGCTTCCGGATGCGTGCGCTGAAGAAGAGATGGCCCTTGATGCCGAGCTTCCCCCGCGGGCCTCAAGCCTGCGTCGCGCCATCGGAAGATTGGGGCATCTCGGCCGCGGCACCCAGCGCCCAAGCCCTTGCCATTGAGCGCTTGCGCCCGGGATCATGTGCAAATTTTGGTCAGGCGGGGCGGTCAGAAGCTCTCGGCCCACGTGGGATCCACCCCCGCGCCCGAGCAATATCGAAGCCCAAGGTTACCCCCAGGCCGTGATGTGCTGCCCCTGCATCATGAATGGTTGCGACATCGGCCTTGCTTGCGTTCTCCGCAAGCCATTGACGAGCGCGACGGTCCAACGCGACAAAATCGAGCGTGCGCCGGGGCCCCAGAGCGCAGGTGTTCTCCGCGTCAAAAGCCGAGACAATTTTCCCATCAACCAAGCCCAACCCAGCAGATTGGGCAAGCTTCTGAGGCGTGCAGTTTCAGTCCCCAGCCACGAGCCATGGGGCCTGGACCGTCTTGAGGATTCGTACACGTCTCCCTCGATAACCGCAGAGCTCGCGAGGTGAATGCCCAAGACCAGCAGACGCTGCCCACGCGCGCGAACTTGCATGCCAGGCGGGTCTGGGAAGTCGATCCCCGGCTGGTCAGTCCGCCCAAGCTGTTTTTTTGTATCCAACTTGGTCATGCCGCGACAATGCGGTGTGACGAAGTAAGGCTGCCTTGATTGTCTCCCTGGTTCCCATAGCGATTCCCCCCGCCTTGGCGACGGGGGGTAGAACACGCGGCTGCAGGAGTGTCGACCTAGCCTGCCCCGCGCCGGTCATGGAGAATGGCGTTCGAGCCCGTCGGCAACGCATGCGCCTCGGGCGTGCTGATCACGTCTTCAACGCGCTGCCGGGCAAGGGACTTCGCGGCGGGCCCCCGGCCCCCAATATTTCGAACGTACATTGTCCTCGAGGATCCTCTTGCCGAAGTAGCTGATTGGGCACGCCCGCCAGCGCCCTGAGCGCGCCCTCCAGCCAGCGCCCGCGGGGCATAACCGAGGCCGCCCCAGTCTCCTGAACCTGCGCCCGGCGCCCCAGACCCTCCGGCGATTTCATCCCGTGGGGCCCTGGCGGCGCTCGCAGGGCTGGGCTCGCGCTCGCGGCCAGGGGGCGCGCGCCGCGGGGCATGCCCCACCCCTGCATGGGGCCCGTGCGCATCGACGAAATAGGCGCCATAGGGCCAACAGGCCTGCGCAGTGACTGCCCCTGGAATAGACGAGTGGCCGACCTTGGAGCGGCGCTCGGCGGTTTGGGATCGACCCCCCGACCTCCGCCGCGCGATGGTCCACCGAGGCCGAGATGAGTCTGGAGGCTGACGGCCAGACTTGGCGGCCGCCTCTTGGCGGGCCATCGCCAGCGCGGCCTCCGCGCCCGCCTCCAGCTCGATGGCGATGGCGTCCAGCCTGGCCTTCCCCACTGCGTCCGAAGCCTGGGGTAGCCCCCCAACCTGCGGGGCATGCGGGGCGGCCGCCGGCTGGCTACCCCCAGGCGGTGGAAGCCCTCTTCCGCCCGCAGGGTCACCGCCTCCTGCTGCAGCTGCTGCGGCGGGCGCCCCAGGCGGCGAGGTTCGGTCTTCTTGATACTCTTGCCCCGAAGCGCTGCCAAAGACTCTCTGTGCCCCGCTGATGCTAATGCTGATGTTGATGCTGATGATGATGGTGGTGATGATGAGGAGGAGGAGGAGCAGGAGGACGAGGAGGAGGACGAGGACGACGAGGGGGAGAAGGCGAGGGTGAGTGAAGAGGGGGACACACGAGGAGGATGAGGAGGAGATGGAGGAGGACGAGGAAGAAGAGGAGGACGAGGGGGAGGAGGAGGAGGAGAAAAAGGGCGAGGAGGAGGAGGAAGATGATGGACGATGGATGGAAGAGGATGGAGGACGAGGGACGGAGGAGGTCGCGCTCGTCGAGGGAAAAGGATGGTATGGTGAAAGGAGGAGGAGGAGGAGTCAGGAAGGAAAAGGAGGTGGGAGGACGGATGAGTACCAGGAGGAGGAGGAGGAAGAGAAGGAGGAGGAGGAGGAGGAGGAGGAGGAGGGAGGAGGAGGAGGGGGTGGAGGGGGACAAGTTTGAGGAAGAGGAAGAGGAGGAGGAGGAGGAGGAGGAGGAGGAGGAGGAGGATGAGGAGGAGGAGAGGGGGAGGGATAAGGAGGAGGAGGAGGAGGAGGTGGAGGATGAGGAGGAGGAGGAGAAGGTGGGGAGGAGGAGTTGGAGGAGGAAGAGGAGGATGACGACGAGGAGGAGGAGGACGACGAGGAAAAGGAGGAGAAGGAGGAGGTTGTAGTTTGATGGACCAGACGGAGGAGGAGAATGGAGGAGGATGCTTGCGGAGGTGAAATCGTCGTTCGTCGTCGTTCGTCGTCGTGGAGGTCCCCTTCATCGCACCCGCAGGAGGACGCCGGCCAGAGCGGCCCCTCGCCCAGCAGCACCGTGCGGTTGCTCGGGGAGGCGCGCCGCTGGCGAGGGGGGACAGGAGGCACGAGCCCACCTGGTTCCTCCTCAATATGTTGGTTCTTCTCCTCCTTCGTCTCTTCCTCCTCCTCCTCCTTTTCCTCTTGCTCCCTCAATTCAATTTGCTCGTCCTCCTTCTCTCCTCCTCGTTTTCCTCCTCCTCCTCCTCCTCCTCCTCCTCCTCCTCCTCTTCCCTCCACCGCCACTCAAGTATAGCACCAGAGTTCGGTCCTGCGACAGCTCGCCACTTTTCCGTTGCTAGTGCCTGTGGGATCTCGGCGAGTAAGTATGAACAGCTCCCTCCATTGCCTCCTCCGCCTCCCTTCCCCCACCCCTCCATCCCGATTTCTCATAATGTTGGCCAGTGTGGACCCCAATCAGATTTTTACTGCGAGTATACTCAGTGATGCAATCTACGTGCTGCAAGCGAACCGTTTTTGTGGGAGGTCCCCAGGCCCGAGAACATTCTTCACGAGTCGGTCCCGACCTCCAGGGCTGCAACAAAAGCACCCACAACAATTGTTTGGGGCCCTCATTACGTTTTTGTTGTGCCTGTTTCTTCTTCTGGTGATCTTACTTTCATTATCATTATTCATACTGGTACTAGTATTACTCGTAGTCTCATAACTATTACTATCCTTCTTTTCTGCTCTCATCCACTGCTTCGGGAGTCGTGAGCCATCCCTGGAGGACGCTTCCGTTTTTCCGGACCTCACTTGCATGGTTTTGTGGGCAGTGCTCGGTTGGTCGCAGTGTTCGGCATGTGTTCGGGCCTTCGCGCTTCTAATCGCTTGTTCGGCTGTGTTCGTGTGATGTGTGTTCGGCCAAAGCGTGCGCAAGTCATATGGTTGGCTAGTGTTGAGCCAGAGTACACGGATTGTAATTGTAATCGCGCCAATCCTTGTGATTTGTGTTCGGCCGCGTTCTAAGAGAAGTTTGTAGCAGCTTGAAGCGTTCGTATGGTTGACTTCGCAGGAATTGCATTCTGGCGCGGTTTAGGGTCGTCAGGACGCAGCAATCGCGTCGACTTGCGGCGTTGACGGCCCAGGAATGGTTTTCTGACGCGCTCTTAGCTTTACCAGGACCCACCAATTGATTCGCGGCGCTGAGGTCCAAGGAGTTTCGCTGGTACGATTCAGGATTGTCAATTTTTGCCGCCCCATGGGGCACCTCCCCCAACGAAGCCATATTCTTGTACGCTGGAAAGCGAACTCGGAGGGAGGGTTTTTGCAACATCGATGATGCGTCCTTCGGTTTACATTGCTTCTCCTTTCCTCCTCCCTCCGCCTCCGCTTCTTCTTCTCTCCTCCTCCTCCGTAGCCATTCTTGACTCAGGACGATGTGTGCCATAGTGGAGCAAGTGGAGATCGTTGACCCACGGCAACTTCCAACTTTCGACCAGTTCGACCTCACCCGAGCCGAGCGCTGGTCCGCCCTTGTGCCCGGCATCTTGCGCGCGCTCGCGCTCCAGGCCCTCGGATCACGGCGCCCTGGCAGAGAAGGCGGGGCCAGCTGGCAGCCATGCCGCTTCTGAAGCAGGCCCTCGGATCGTGGCGCCCTGGCATAGACGGCAGGGCCAGCTGGCGGCCATGCCGCTCTGGAACGTGGCAGTCCTGGGTCCGGCAGGACTCCGGGCGGCCCACGTGGCGGTGCAGTCAGTGCGGGCGCTCCAGGAACCCAGGGGGGAGGAGCAGGAGGAGCAGCAGGAACAGGAGGAGGAGCAGCAGGAACAGGAGGAGGAAGAGGAGGAGGAGGACTAGTGCAAACCCAAGACTCATCAATGATATAGCTAGAACTGAGGCTGTCGCAAATACTGCCTCGCCACCAGGGCCAACGACGTGGCCGACATCACGGATTACAGGAAACCCAAGGGCCGTCGGGCCAAAGGGCTCGACAAGAGCGATTTGCCAGTCGCTCCTGCTGCTGGCGGTGGTGACGGCCTTCAATTTGGACGTTATCGCCCCTCTCTCAGGTCTAGGGCACACAGCACTTTGCAGAACATAGGGACAACCATGTCCTGGCCACGCGGTGCAAGCAGCGGGTGGCACAATTGGCGAAGGAGGCCTAGCTCGTCCATTTGTCGGTTTGGATCGGTTCGGGAGTGTCCCGGGGCCAGAACAGGGCAACATCGCACGTTTCGAAAAAGATGAGACGCCAGGATCTCAGGGCGCCCGTCTTCCTCCTCTTCCTCCTCCCCCTCCCCCTCCTCCCTCCGCCCCCTCTTCCTCCTCCTCCTCCTTCTCATCCTCCTCCTCCTGCTCCTGCTCCTCCTCCTCCTTCTCCCCCTCCTCCCCCTCCTCCTCCTCCTCCTCCTCCTCCTGCTCCTGCTCCTGCTCCCACCTCCTCCTCTTCAGCTTCTGGAGTCTCTGAAAGGTATGACCCGCACACGCTCACGACGGCCTCGAACTCAAAAGAGGAATTGCCCGACGTCCTCTGTGTGCACCTACCTCCGTACAAAACTCGAGAAGCGCGGAGCCGAGGACGAAGAACCCGCCGCCAACGCTGCGCCACACCACTGATTGCTTAGGAAACCCACGCGGGCCGATCCTCGGAATCGACAGCACCACGAAGTAACCACCAGTGTCAGCTCGTACATACCAGGTGCCCGTGAAGCCTTTTCAACAAACTGGGCAAGTGCACGTCATGCGGCACATTGACTGAATTTATCTCTCTTCTCCCGTGAAACTGTTAGTCTCGGAGCCTGCGGTCTCCCTCCACCTCCTCCCCCTCCTCCTCCTCCATTCCAGCTTCCAGCATCCCACTGCCCACATCTACCTCCACGTCCACCCATCGACCTCCAGCCTCTGCAGCTTACGGCACCGACGGTCGAGAGCATGCACTTCCGCAAATGATCGACGCAGAAACCGGGGTCGTCTTCAGTGATATTGGCGCGCAAGTTGCCCGCGTAAGGTCGCGCGTAAGCGCCCATGCTTCCAATTCAGCGTGACGCACCATTGGCCCGCGTAATCTGCGGCGTAAGGTCGCTAGTTTATCTCGTGTAATACCCGTTTCTGATCGTCGCTCCTTTAAGGGCTCCAACAGGGGTCGACCTAAACAGTGTTTTGGCGATCTCGTTGGCCGTTTTTGATTCGACCTCGTTCTGCAGCAGAGGCCTACAGAAGACAACACGAGGGAAAACGAAAACAACACGAGAACGACACGCACCGTTTAGGTCCATCCCTGGGCTCCAGCCCGCCCGCGCTGGCCACAGTACTGCCACACCCGCCCGCGCTGGGCCTGGCACACCTGCCACAGTACTGGTCAACCGTGGCTCGGCTCCCGTGGCCCTCCTCCTCCTCCTCCTCCTCCCCCTCCTCCTGTGGGCCTCCGGGGGCACTGGCGCGCTCTGCTCTCTGCTCGCCGCTCCCGCCCTCGGCCGGCAGTCCCCGGCCCCCGCCGACGACCCGGGCGAGGCGCCGCCGGGCGCAGCCGCCGCCGGAAGGCTCGACGCCTCGCTGCGCTGCGCGGGGGCCTCGGCCCGGCGGCGGGCCTCGCGCGTGGGGTTTGCCCTCCTCTCAGGCTGTGGCCGAGCGCCCTGGCTCCCTTGCGTTGCGAAGAATGCTGGGCCTGTTTTCCACCACCACCCCCATAAGTTGCAGTGGGGAAGGAGGAGGGCGAGGAGGAGGGCGAGGAGGAGGAGGTGGAGGAGGACCCCCTCCCCCAACCTATGGTGGTGGTGGTGGTGGAATCGCTATGCTCGGCCTCCGGGGGCCCTCGCTGGACCTCGGGGCCGTCAACAGAGCGACAACATTCGGTCCTGGGGAATGGGGCGAGACCTCTGGGGTTAAGTCGGGCCCGTCCCTCTACAGGAAGAACATCGAAAATAGTCAAGAATAGCCTGGGGACTATTTGTGATGTTTTTTTTGTGTTACCATTTTGGAGTATTTTTGTTGGGATTTGTTTATTTCTCGTCGAAAAAACCCCTGTAGGGGGACACGCCCGACTTAATACTTGACCTCGGGACCGTCAACAAAACGACTCAGGATGAAACACCGGTCCTGGGGAATGGGTCGAGACCTCTGGGGGTCGACGTCATGAACAAATAATGGAAAAATCAAGCGCCCTACCAAATCATGTCCTTGGAACATTTCAGGCTGAGTGTCTGTCCTTTTTTCACACATCGGGCGTATGTTCTGAGAGCTTTCGTTTTGTTCTTAGAACATGTTAGGGTTCTACGGACATTTCATGGTAGGCCTACAGGAATGCTGGCACGGTCGGTCCCTGCTCAATTTTCGGAGGCGATGATACAACTACCCGTCGGTCGTTGAAAGCAGGTGCACTGCTTTCCGTCGGGATACCCTCGGCTTCGTGGCTCCGCGCGCTGCGCGGTGACTTCCCGCGGCTGCGTTCAGGGTGCTCAGGGTTTCCCCTGGGTGCGTCTCCTACGCGGGTTTTCAGGGCTGGGTTTCTTGCGAGGGCTTCCTGCGGTCGCGCCCGCACTGTATCTTTGGATGTCCAGATCCAGAGCTAGTTTAGCCGCCCTCCTACCTCAAGAGTCGAGCGGTTTTCGCGTTTCCTCTTCAGGGAATGGGGTCTCGCGGACCAGGGGGGCAGGAGTCATGTGCGTGGTTGGGCACTTACGTCACGTTCTTTGAGGGCGGAACGGAAAAAGGTAGCATAGGGACGGGGAGGGTTACGAAACCTGCTGCATGCAGCTGCTTTCCGCCCCGCCGTCGGGCCCATGCCGCGTTACGTGGGCGCCTTCTGGCGCCAGGAGGCACCATGAAAACCGGCTACGTCAGCTGATTCTCTATTCGACCCTTTGCTATTCTACCCTTTACTGTCCTACCCGTTCGCCCCCCCCCCCCCGATCTTTGTGGGCTTCCGATCGATCCCTGCACTCGAGGGCCTGTGTCGGACCCCCAGGGCTACGAGATACGGATGGAGATCGAGTCGGGAGCTCTGAGGCCGCGGACAACAAAAATCAAGCATGTTGGCGGACGTCAGAGTAAGAAGGGGAAGAGAAAGAGGAAGAAGAGGAGGGGCAGGAGGACATGAAGGAGGAAGAGCAGCAGGATGACAAAGGTTGAGGAGGGGGGAGGAGGAAGAGGAGGGGGAGGAGGAGGAGGAGGAGGGGGAGGAGGAGGAGGAGGAGGAGGAGGAGGAGGGGGAGGAGGAGGAGGAGGAGGAGGAGGGGGAGGATGAGTAGAAGGAGGAGTAGGAGGAGGTGGAGGAGGAGACAGTTTTGTTGTAACATCGGATCTCAGGAGGGGGAGGATGAGGAGGAGGAGAGGGGCCAAATTTCAGAGATCGATCTTCGGGATTCGAGGGCGTGTCTTTTTATGTTTGTAGCCTCTATGATTGTCGCCGCGACTGGATCACCATTGTAACCCTAAGGAGAACACACCCACAAAATGCTCCAGAGACAAACTTTTTACAGGGGAGGAGCAGGAGGATGAGGATAAAGATGAGGAGGAGTTGCAGGACGGGGAGGATGGGGAGGATCAGGAGGAGGAGGAGAAGGTGGACGAGGAGGAGGAGGAGGAGGAGGAGGAGGAGGGAGAGGGCGGGGAGGAGGGGAAGAATGGACAGGAGGCGGATGAGGAGGAGGAGGAGGAGGAGGAGGAGGAGGAGGAGGGAAGATGGAGAGGAGTGGGAGGACTGGGAGGAGGAGACGGAGGAGGAGGAGGAGGAGGAGGGAGAAAGAGGGAGGGGAGAGGAGGGAGGATGACGAGGAGGAGGAGTAGGAAGGGGATGAGGGGGAGGTGGAGGAGGAGGAGCAGGAGGGGCGGATATCTCTGGGGAGAGTGCTACATGTACCCGTAGATCGCATGTTTGGGTTGCCTGCATCGTCTCACATATCCGCTGGAGGCCCGAGTTAAGGCCGGAGTTAGTTTCGGCGTGTGGTTCGGTCAGGCAACAACCAACATCCAAACAGCACAACACATCTTGGCGAAATACACAACCATATGCATGTCTGAGTGCCGTCGTTGTGAGAATCGTCTTCGGCGCCATGCGAACCCTGTCATTGGGGCCTTAGCTGGAGCTCCGCATGGAGCCACGGAGCGAGTGAGAGGTGCTGAAATAAGGCACCGACGCCGTGCGAACGCAGGCATATGGGCCTTAGCTGGGGCACCATAATCATTGGGCCACGAAGCGTGTGAGGGGTGTGCCGAAATCAGATACCGATTCCATGCGAACCCTGGCATTTGGGCCTCCCCATGATGCCACGAGACGTGTCCGGGGTGTGCCGAAATGAGGCATCGACGCCGTGCGAACCCTGGATGATGGGCCTTAGCTGGGGCTCCTATGAGGCCACGAAGTGGGTGAGGGGTTTGCCGAAATGATTCACGGACGCCATGCGAAACTTGGCATGTTGGCCTTAGCTGGAGCTCCCTATGGGGCCACCAAGCGTGTGAGGGGTGTGCGCAAATTGAGATGCGGGAGGGAGGAGGGGGAGAAGGTCAGCGGGTGGGTTTGGAGCACGGCATTGTCTCATCAACACGAGGATCCAACACCACAGGATGGTTGGGAGAAAGAAACACTGCGGACGGTTGTCATTGTTTGTGGCCTCCGGTGTCGGGGCTTCGGAGTAGGTGTGACAGCTTTTCAGAAGAAGGCTGGAGTCTTTCGGAGCCTTCTTTGAACTCCCCCCTTTGCGCGCCGCCGACCAACGGGCTCCTGAATCTCCCAATGGCTGTGGAGGTTGTATGAGGACGAGGATGGTGATGATGCTGTTGTTGTTGAAGATGAGGATGGCGATGATGCTGCTGATGATGATAATGATGATGGTGATGATGGTGATGAGGATGAGGATCAAGCTGTCGTTGGTGATGAGGATGATGATGATGATGATGATGATGATGATGATGATGATGATGATGATGATCATGGTGGTGGTGGTGGTGGTGACGATGATGATGATCATGATGGTGATGCTGATGATGATGATGATGATGATGCTTATGATAATGATGATGATGATACTGATGATGGTGGTGCTGGTGATGATGATGGTGATGGTGCAGATCGCTGGTGGTGATGATGGTGGTGGTGATGGTGATGGTGATGGTACTGATGATGTGGACGAGGCAAGGTTGATGACGATACTGCAGATGCGATTGCTGATGCTTACGCTGAAGCTGATGCCGGTAAAGCTGATGATGCTGATACTGTTGCTGCTGCTGCTGCTGCTGCTGATGTTGATAATGTTGGTGATGAAGCTGATCCTGCCGGTGATGCTGATGATGACGATGACGATGATAAGGGCGCCGATGTTGAGGATGATTGATATGATAATGAGGACCAACTGTTTAGGAAGAAGGGGCGAGAGGCTGATGCCGATGTTGATGCTGACGAGGACGGTGGTGCCGAGCAGGAAGGGAAAGAGGCCGCGGCTGAAATTCAGGGTGGTGGTAGTGAGGGCGGTACTAAGTAATTGGCTCGAGCGTCTCCGGTTTTCGCTATTCTGCAGACCCGACGAGCGCCTCGCGTTCTTCGGACACATGGCGCGTGTGGCAGCCCTCTTCGCCGCCGTGCTGGTGGGCCTGGTGCTGAACGCCAGCGTGAGCTTCGTTTCGGGCCCCACCGTGCAGCAGAGGGAGGCCCGCGTGTCCGCCAGCGTCCTCCGCAACAACCAGTTCGAGGACATGACCGCCTACGACGCCCCGAGGCGCAAGCCGATTGTCGGGCCGAGCGAAAGGGGGGGATTGGCCAGGGGGGGGTACGAAATCTGCTGCACGCAGCTGGTTTCGGCCCCACCGAGGGGCCCATTCCTCGATACATAGCCGCCTCTGGCGCCGGGAGGCGCCGGGAAATAAATCAGCTACGTGAGCTGATTCTCAAACCCCTCCTTGGCTATCCCCCCCTTTCGCCCGACCCGAGCAAGTCGATTGTTCTGGAAGCTGTCGCAGGTGTTCGGAAGTCCGCGTCGGTTCTTTGAGGTTTCCTCGCCTGGGGACACTTGCCAGCAGCCGCGCCCCGCCGAGGGCGTTTCAGGGATGCCCGGATCGCCAAACGGCCGCCGCAGGCAAGAATTTTGGCCTGACAGCCCAGAGATCCAACCGAATGATTGAAAATCACTACGACGCCCCGAGGCGCAAGCCGAACTTCAACGGCATCCGCACAGGCCTCAGCGACCTTCTGAAGCCCCTCAACAGCGAGTACGGCGTGACCGCCAAGGATCGAAGAAGACTGCACAACATAAACGTAGATGTTCGGAGCTCCGCGCAGATTTCTTGGATTGGCGCTGGATCCCCATGGCGGCGCCTCCGGCGCCCCTGGCGCGCTCTGCTGAGAGCGATTGGGGTCCAGCTCAGATCCTCCAAAGTTTTATGCTTATGCAGATGTTTTACCTCTCAAGGAGGACAGCCCCGCCACGTACGTTGTCCTTGTGTTCGCGATCGTAATGCTGTTCCTTTTCTACACGCTTCTCCTGCTGATCAACAATCAGTCGGTCCTGCTGCCGCCAGAGGACCCTTGGCATGCTCCAGAAGGGATCGCTGCACGTCTGATTCGAGGGTCGACAATCTCGGGGGAGATGAAGGATGGGGAGCGGGAGGAGGAAGCGGGAGAGAAGGATGACAATGACGGAGAGGATGAGGAGCTTCGATAGCGGCGATCGGGGCCATCTCACGGACCCAAGACAATCACCAATTGTTTGCAAACCCGTGCTGTTGAGCTGGACTTCGGGGGATCAGAGTCTGGTCAGTAGGGCGGCCCTGGAGGGTCAAGGGTGTCCTCTTTGTCTTGCCTGTCGCGTCTCCTTGCCCTCTCTCACATCGGGTGATCTCAGGCCGCCCTCAGAAGGGTCTCGTGCTCTCTCGGGTGTGCTTTGCGGTCAGCCCGGGCGGTAGGCCTCTTCCCTCCCATGTAGTCTCGTCATTTTTATGATGGTCCCGTCGGGCCAACCCGAGTCCCCGTACCCGAGTCTTACGTATCCCCGATCCAGGAGTTCCTTTCTCAGCCCGTCCGGCCGCCGAGCGAAGCCAGGGCCGAGGCCGTGCGGCGGACCCAGCGGGCTCGACTCCCACCGCTCCCCGCGGGAGCTGGGCCCGCGCGGCTGCCTGCTCAGAGGGGGCCGCTCTGGCGTCCTCGAGTCCTCCAGTCTTCGAGGGCTACTCGGGGAGGTTGCCCTGGTGTTCTTCGTGTCGGGTTGACGTCACTGTGCGTCTTGTGGGAGGGCACCCTCGAAGGTTCTTCAGCTTGGCCAGCGGAGGGTTTCATGCTCTTGAAGGATGTTCTGCTGTCCTCGGTCCGGCCGTACGGCCTGAAGCGACCAGGGGCAATGATAGATGCGGGCGCAACCAACATTAAGTGGATTTTTTCGAGTTGGCCCCTCGGGGGAGAACCCACCGACCATGGCATGAACCCTTTGGTGGTGGTTGTGGTCGATTTGGCCGTCCTGGCACGCCTCATCTTCCACAACCAGCGCGAAGCTGGCTTGGGTTTTCCACCAACTTGGACCAAGACACCACCCCGAGTGTGTCCTCGATGTGGTTGTGGTCGCTTGCTGATCCCGCAGCAGAGGGGGACAGGCTCAGAGCGGAACGCATCGTCCCCAAATCGTCCACTCATCGCCGACAGGTGCCCGATGGCCCACCCCGCCCAGGGCCGTGCGGATTCTGCTCGGGCGCTCATGGGTCGCCGATTCCAGGTCGATGCTTCCCCCCTTTGAGCCGGTCTTCTGCTTTCGTTTCCCCTCCCTTCCTCCCTCCCTCCCTCTGCCTGAGGCCCCGCCTTCCTGCGCCCAGTCTCCCTAATTCAAGCTGTGCGTAGCCCGCCTAGCTTTTAGCGGAAGAGGTTCGCTCTCGCCCCGCAGATCAACAACTCCCTCCCTCCCTCAGAAGGCCGAGGTTGGTGTTACTTCGTATCCTCCGCCAAGGGAACCGAGCTTCCTGGACCTCGGGAGTCGCTGGACCTGGACACATTCAGGGCCCACTGGGGCTCCAATGCACGAGCATCTACGGCCCCGAGAAGCCTGAGGGTGTGCTGCCCGTTCGCCACGTGGTGTCCTGGGATCCTGGGAGAAAGGCTCACCAGGCGTAGGCTGTGCACAAATCCCCGCTGCCCGTCAACCCCCCCTCCCCGAAGGGCGCTATGTCATCCGCAGCGGGGCGAAGATGGTCGCGCTCCGCGCGTCGCGGTCTGGGCCCGAGCGGTTGCCCTTCTCCAGGAGGAGGGCGGTGCGAGGGCGAGTGCGCGAGGGCGCGAAGGGTATCGCCCGCCGCGCATCGCGGGGCGCGGTGCGCGCGACTGCGCGACTTGTCCCAAGGAAGGAAGAGCCCTGATAATTGGCGTTTGCTATGCCGCCTTGGGCGTTTACTGCACAACCCTGCCCTGTTCGATTCCTTCTTTGGGTGCGTTTACCAAACGGCTTCGCTGATCGTGGTACCGATTATCAGGGTTGATCTTCTGCTCTCTATTAGCACGTGCGCGAATCCAAATCCTTCCCCGAGCCCTGGCCTTCGACGATGTGCCTTTTCAGTTCGTGGCCCCAGAGCTCCCCACCGCTTTTTTGGTGGTTTTTGGCTTCTCGTCCCCGATCAGTGCATGATGATCCCTGGAACCGATGGCTGGCCCCAGAGGCCGAGGTCGAGGCCGGGGCCCAAGAGACGGTGGTGAATTCAAATGGCGGTCGGTCAGGTGCAGGTTCCTGCAGGATCTTGCAGGATCTTGCAAGGCCTGTCTGACCTGAGTTTGGATTGACCCTGGTCAGCAGCCTCCGAAACCGCGGACAAAAACAGCCTGGGATTGAACAGGACATCGTCGGAGATGTGGGAAAAGGACGAGTCACCAGAAGTCATCAGAGGTCCGACCACCCCCTCCAACAGGGCCGGCGTTTTGCCGCGAGTCGTTTTGGGACGGCCCTGGGGCCCGGAGAGGGCCCCAGGCTGGCGGCCCACATTAGAGGGCTCCGCCCTGGAGGGTTTCTCCGAAGGGCTTACGCGACCCCTCCTCCGCCTTCTCCGCCTCCTCCTCCGCCTCCTCCTCCTTCCTCCTCCTCCTCCTCCTCCTCTGCCTCCCCTGCTCCTCCGCCTCCCCCTCTTCCTCCTCTTTTTCCTTCTCCTCCTCCTCCTCCTCCTCCTCCTCCTCCTCCTCCTCCTGCTCCTCCTCCGCCTCCGCGGGTGACCTGCAGGAGATTCGGCGTGTCGGATCTTCTCCTGGATAGCTCCCCAAGGATTTAGAGGGTTTCAGACTGGAAGCCGGCAGGCGAGCGTAGCCCCGGAGTTCGTTCTGGCGTCGGTCTAGGATCCCCCGCTGCGGCTCGCTTGAGGCTGCAGCTTGTCCCAGAAGGCCCTGCTCTTATTGTTTCCCAGTACGTGTGTCCCGAAGCTTTCCAGAAGTTGCTTCCCAAGCTTCTTCGACGAGCTTCCAGAGCGCCTTCGAAGTGTTGGAAGATTTCTGGCGCCCCGCTATCCGAGTTTGGGATTCCACCAGTTAGGGACGTTGGATCTCTGTGGACATTGCGTCAGCCCTGAGCCCCGCCCCGAAGGTCGGCCACTCGCAGAGAGGGGTAGGGGGGGGGGGAGGCTCCTCAGAAGGAGTCCGCTTATTAGAAGGCGCGGGCCTCATCTAAAGATGCAGGTCCGGCGCCCTCTAAGAAGCAGCCTCCTCCCGAGAAGCCTTCCCCCCTCCTCCTGACCCCTTTGTGCTCCCCGCCTCGCAGGGCGAGCTCGACGAGGGTGGACGGAGGACGAGGGTTCGACGATGGAGGATGGTGGCCCCCTTCGGGGGCCCTCCTCCGCGGCCCCCCTCGGTGGCCCCCTCTCGGTGGCCCCCGTCGATGGCCCCCCCCCTCGGTGGGCCCCCCTCCGTGGCCCCCCCCCTCGGCGGGCCCCCCCCCCTCGCTCCGCAGGAGGCCTCCCTCGGCGGCCCCCATCGGCTCCGTGCCCCCCCCCGCGCGCCCTCCCTGTCCCCTCCCCCCTCCACAATTACTCAATATGAATAGTACTCTCCCTCTTCCCCTGATGGCGTGCTGGGAGTAGTAGACCCCCCCCCGCGTCCTGTCTTTTTGCACACAGGATTCCCGGGAGTTGGGTTTTCGCCTGCGTTTTTTTTTTTTTTTTTTTTTTTTTTTTTTTTTTTTTTTTTTTTTTTTTCTTTCAAAATGCTGCTCTCGCTGAGGCGCCGGCCTCATTTCTGCTCCCGAATCGTTCCGAATCGTGCTCCCGCTGCAGCGTGGGCCTCATTTTCGGATCGGTGTTTTGCCTCCGTCGTTCAGGATGGCGTTCTCGCCCCAGCGCGGGCCTCTTTCTCGCGCGCCCATCCGCCCGCCACCACCGCGCCGCACCACGCCCCGCCCCGCCGCACGCACACCCACCGCCACTTCCACCCACCAACGCACGCACGCACGCACGCGCACCACCACCGCGCACCGCCACCACCACCGCACTACCCCACCCACCACCACCACGCTACACCGCGTCACACCACATCACACGCGCGCACACACAGACACACACGCACGCACGCACGCACGCACGCACGCACGCACACACACACACACACACATACACACGCACACACACACACAAACACGCACACACACACAGACACACACACACACCACCACCGCCACCACCACCGCCATCACGCACGTACGCACCTGGCCCACCACCAAACCACCAAGACGCCACACCACGTCACACCACAGCACACGCGCACACACGCACACACACATACACACCACCACCACAACAACCACAACCACGCACACACGCACGCACGCACGCGCACCACCACCCACTACGCACACGCGCGCGGAGCCACAGGTCCGCTACGACACGCGTCCGCGGATAGAGAAAATCAGCGCCATGGTAAGGGATGGGAGGGAGGGGTAGGATGTCAGATGTTGACGCGAGCGCACCTAGCTTGACCTCCCCCTCCCCTCCCCCCCCCCCGCGCCCCCCCCCCGCCCCGAAGGACGAGTTCGACGAGTACGTGGCGAACTTCCTCCCGTACTTCTTCTTCGGCGAGCGGTAGGCTCGGGCGGCGCGGAGGCAGACGCCCCCCGCGGGGCGGGCGCCCCGGCGGCGCGCACGGGGGGCGGGCGAAAGGGGGGGGGGGGAGGGGGGGCAGAGGGCGGCCCTCCTTGCTCTCCCTTCCACCTCCTCCTCCTCCCTCCTCGCTCCTCCTCCCTCCTCGCTCCTCCTCCTCCTCCTCCTCCTCCTCCTCCTCCTGCTCCTTTGCCTCCCTCCTCCTCCTTCCTCAACCTGTTCCGCCTCCTTCCTCCTTCTTCTCCTCCTCCTCCTCCTCCGCCTCCTCCTCTGCCTCCTTATTCCTACCCCTGGGCACGGCCTGGTGACGGACAGCGTCTGTCCACCGCCGCACGTTCGGAGCCATGGACCGTGTAACCACCTATTGGCTCCAACGTCGGACACGGGCCGAAGGCTGGCTGCAACGAGCAGCAGACGAGCAGCGGCGCTGCTGCAGCACGGACAGGCTGACCGCCGTGTGCGGTCAGTCCGAGCTGCCAGAACTCTACTTCACCTCATCACAAGCTCGAGTGGCCTGAGATCATGGGGGGAACAGTGCGGGGGCCGCCTGCATGTGAGACGGCGAGGAAAGACTGCTCCATCCTGCAGCTCAGGCGGCAGGAGCCGCCTCATTTCGGAGGACAAATGCAAGCAAACGCCGCACAGGAGGTCTGAACTTATGAGTTCTCCTTCTATATCTTCTATGCTCCTCCTCCCTCTCCTCGTCGTCCTCCTCTCTTCATGTCCTCGGCCTACTCCTTGTCCTTCTTGTCTGTCCTTTTTCTGTTCCGCCTTTTACTCCTCCTTCTCTTCTCTTTCTCATCCTCGTTCTCCTCCTACACGGTTCCTGTTTCTCCTAAGTTTTATCCCTTAGTTCACAGGTCTACTGCTCCTCCTGCATCTCAATGCACTGCCCCTCAGAAGGGACCAACGTGACATGGAACCATCGTATTTCAACAGTTTCGCACTCGTCCCATACCTGTAGGCAGGCCCCCAAAGAGTGGCCAGCGTATCATTATACCATCGTGTTTCTCAGGATTCGTGCTCACCTAACTCCTTCAAACACGCTCCAGGGGAAGGCTTCTCCAGATCAGCTTTTGGGTCATTCAAAACCCATCCAGGCATCCCAACATCGATATCTCCGAGCAAAAATAGAATCCTCCCAGGACCCCGAACTTTCTTATCCCCAGGGTGCGATTATCACCGGTATAGGGTTAGCTGCTCACCCTGTGTCCATGTTGCATGCCGAATGGGGTCACTCCTCCTCTCGGGGTCTGTCCCCCACCCCTCCCTGAGATCAGACGTTGCGAAAACAAGAATCAAATCAGCATCGCGAACAAGCTCGACCAGAGCCCTTGCCCTTATCTTTCTGCGCCAATCTTCGAGCCGCATGGGTATGTGAAGGTCCCATGCCCGAAACAGGGCGAAATCGCCCGTTGCGAAAAAGTACGACTTCAGGATCTCAGGGTCGGCCCCGTCCCCTACGGTTTTCGGGCCATAGCTTGGGCTTCCAGCGACCGTTCGGGACGATCCGGGCACTTCAGAATGCCCTCGGCGAGTCACAGCCGCTGGAAAGCATCCCGATGCTGGAACACCGCCGCACTCCGACGAAACCACCTGAAAACCTCGAGGGTCCCTTCTCCTTCTGGGGGGCGTGCCCCCTCAAAGGGGGGCGGCCTCCTCGTAGATAGGTACCATCGCCCAAGATCCTCAAGGGAGGAGAGAACCACTATGGCCCCTATACTTAGCTTTTGCTGAACGGCCCTGGGCGTTCACTACACAGCCCGGCCCTGTTCGATTCTTCTCTTGGGTGTGGGTCTGTGTGTGTTTAGTGGCTTCGCTTGTCGGGGTGCTCCTTATTCTAGTAGGGCATCGATTGCAGAATTGACTTGCCCCGAACTTGATGTCCTTTTCGAATCGGCAAGAAATACGTAGTTCTCTGCTCAGGTCTTCGACGAGCAAGAACAATTATGGGCTAGATCCGTTCTGCAGACGATGCACTACCCTCATCATGAGGGTGGCCTTTCTGCTCTCGAGATCCCCCCCCCCGCTCGGCGCGCACCGCCGCGCCCCCTCGCGAGACCTCGTGAGCGCACGGCGCGCAGCGCGCGGCGCCGCTCCCGGAGTCCTGCGGCCCGCCCCAGGGGGGAGGGAGGAGGAGTAGGAGGAGGAGGAGGAGGAGGAGGAGGAGTAGGAGGAGGAGGAGGAGGAGGAGGAGGAGGGGAGGAGTAGGAGGAGGAGGAGGAGGAGGAAGGAGGAGGAGGAGTAGGAGGAGGAGATGAGAGGAAGGAGGAGGAAGGAGGAGGAGGAGTAGGAGGAGGAGGAAGGAGGAGGAGGAGGAGGAGCAGGAGGAGGAGGAGGAGGAGGAGGGAGGAGGAAGGAGGAGGAGGGGGCGTCGACCCCCAGTCGCCCATGCATCGCCGATAGGGGGCCGACAGGCCAACCCGCCCAGGACCGTGCGGCCCCGCTGAAGAGAGCCCGTTGTTGTTCAATCGGGCACGCATCGCCGATCCCAGGTCGAGAGCATCTCCCCCGGGAGCCCGTCCTCCCCTCGTCGCTCCCCTCGCAGACGGGGGCCCGCCCCCCCAGAAGGCGGCGGGGCGTCTCGGAATCGGAGGCAGATGGAGCTCCTTCCCTGACACGTCGTTTAGCGAACGGGCCGTTTTCGGTTCGCGAGAGGGCGTCGCGGCCGTCATTTTTGCGGGTCCAGGTCCGTCGGTTTCGGTCCCAGGCCGTTGTCATTAAAGGGTGGTTTACTAAAGGGAGGTTTGTCCACCTCCGACAGAAGCCACCACGCCTTCTGAGAATCAGGAGCGAACGAACGCCGTGCGTGTGCAGGCGAGTTTTCGCCTGTGCGCCAACGTTCGGGCGCGGACGTTCGGAGCACGAGGCTGGCCTCGTGGACGGAGCGGCCATGTCCGTGCACGGGGCTGGCAGCGTCCGTGATGCCTGGGGGCTCCTCGGGTGGAGAGGCCCTCTGCGGCTGCGAAGGGGGCCTGGGCAGCTCCTGACGAGCCAAAGACGCCCCGCTGCCCTCGGAGGAGGACCCGCCGCCTTTGAGGAGGGAGGAGGGAGGAGGGAGAAGGGAGGAGGGAGGAGGGAGGAGGGAAAAAGTAGGAGGGAGCAGGGAGCAGGGAGCAGACCGGCCCCCTCTGCCCCCCCCCCTCCCCCCGAGGGCGGGCCGCGGGGGCGTGCAATTCTCCCGCCGTGGCGCCTCCGACGGCCCCGGCACCCGCACAGACGTCCGAGGGCGTGGCTTTTTGGACCCGCGGACCTCCGATCCCGAGGAAGAGACTCGACTAGTCGTAAGAGTGACCTTTCGCCGGAGTGACCTTTTGTGCGGGCACAGATGGGCCCCCAGATGGCCGAACGCGAAGCGGCAGTAGCGGCTAGCGCGCCTGGATTTGGCCTCCTTGCGTTCCCCCAGAAGCCGTGCGCCAAAGGTCGGTCTTACCCAGGGACACTCTTACGTGTAGCCGAAAGACATGACCACTGTGAAAGTTACTATCCCTACGGTTGGCATCGCCTTATCCTGATGCCAATCTCAAGGACTCCCTCGGTTTCAGGGGGCGCATCCCTCTGAGGGCCATACTTTTGGGCTCTCCGATCTCAGGGATAGAGATGCGCTCCAGGCTGGTTAACTCGGCAGGAACCTACACTTCGCGAGGTCCGCCGAGAATTTCTCTTATCGGCGCTGGGCTTCCTGGCGGCGCCCAAGGCGCCGCCTCCGGCGCGCTCGACGCGCGCGAAGGTAACCGCGCTTCGCGCGCCGCGGCTTGGACAAAGCCTGTGGAGCTGCTACCCTTCTCCACAGGCGGGCGGCGCGCGGGCGCGAAGATAGTTAGGGCGCCGCATGCGAACCCTACCCGAGCGAAGTGGACCCCACCCTCCCCCTCAGAAATCGTGGGGGGTGGGGGTAGGGTTCGCATGTGGCCCCCTAATCGTCGCGCATCGTGGGCCGCGGTGCGCGAGGTTGGTTGACCCAGGAACGCTTGCTGTCGGAGGTCCCAGCGCGGCTCGTGGAGCGGCGCCGGGACCCCCCGTTCTGCCTCGGAGATCGGAGGGAGGGCGCCACCGCCCACGAGATCCACCGGGCGATCTCGCCCTGCTTGTCGGAGGTGGAGAGACATCCTACCCTGACACGTCGATTAAGGAATTGGCCGTTCTCGGTTCGCGAGAGGGCGTCGCGGCCGTCATTTTTGCGGGTCCAGGTCCGTCGGTTTCGGTCCCAGGCCGTTGTCACTAAAGGGAGGTTTACTAAAAAGGGAGGTTTGTCCACCGCTGAGTTTGGGCCCCAGGACTCTCTCGGATCGCGCCAGCTCGAGAACTGCCGCAGCAAGGGTGAGGTCCTCTGGGGCTCTGGCATTATTTGCTTCCCGATGTCTTCTGACTCGCAACGTCGGATCTCAGGGAACACCAGCGGGCCACCTCCAGTGAGGAGGTCCACGAGGCCTCCACGAGCGGGAGCTTGGGGGCGCCTCCAGTGGGACGCCGCAAAACAGGGGATCTATTCCGCCGAGGAGACCCTGCCTGGCTCGTCCTCCTTCTCTCAGAGGTCTGGACCCCTTCCCTGCGGGCAGTTCCTCGTCCCGGATATACACGCCGATCGTTGAAAGCAGGAATTTTGGGATCCCCCAGATTCCAACTGACTTCTAGCGCCTTCGTACTTCAATAATCGATGCGCTTTTGCTGGGTGTTCTTCTTCTCTGGGAGGACCCTACTGTATCCGCCTTCCTACTTCACGTGTTTGCCTTCTTCTTCCGACCGACGTGTTTCTGTGATGGTCAGGGGGGGTCCCGAACCCCCCACCCCAGGAGGCCAAAGCAAACGAGCGAGGGAAGAACACATGGTCGATTGAGCGGACATTCGCGCGTAAGCTTCCCGCGCAAGGTCGCGCGTAAGCGTCGCTTTCTCCACGTGGTGTGCCACGTTGGCGCTGGCGCCCCGCGTACGCCGCGGCGTAAGTCCGCTACCTGCTGTTGCGCAGGACCCGTCTTCCCGTCGCTCAAATCAAGATTTCGGCTTCGAAGGAAAGCAGCCCCTCGGAGGTCTGGTCTCTCCTCACAGGTCGGCGACGACGTCGGCGTCGCGCCGCCGTTTTTTTGTTGAGCCTCGTGAGCTCGGACGCAGCCAGACTCGACGAGCGCGTCGCAGAAAGCCGCTCCCGCCCGTGCCCCTCCCGCGCGTGCACTCCTGGAGGCGTCCCGGCCCCCTGGAGCCTCCTCTTCCTCCATGCCTCTCCAACTCCCTCTTCTCCCACAGCAGAGGTTGCGCCCTGCTCCTCGGGAGCGACCAGGTCTGATCTCTCCCCGCCCCGTTCTTGGGGAAGCCAGAAGGTACCGAAGCCGCTACTCCCCAGACCTCTGCAGGGGTGCGCCCGGGGTCGTCTTAACATTATCACCGCCCCTTATGTCCAGATGCTGGCGGATGTTTGAGGCTATTCTTGAAGGTCTCCGAAGGCATCCCAAGGTATACGAAGGTATCCGAGATCACGTCTTGAGATGTATCCGAGAGATTGTATCCGAAGGTGTCCGAGATCACGTCCTGAGAGGTATCCGAGATGGTATCCGAGATTGCCTTACGTCCACCATCCCTGTGAAATAAAAGCGTATCCGACGTATCCGAGAGGTATCCGATATCACATCTTGAGAGGTATCCGAGAAGGTATCCGAAGGTATCCGAGATCACGTCTTGAGAGGTATCCGAGAAGGTACCCGAGGGTATCCGAGATTTCTTCCCCTCCTCTTCCCCTGTCCTCCCCCTCCCCCCCGCCCTTCCTCGTCCTCCTCCACCCGCCCTTCCTTCTCCTCCTCCTCCTCCTCCTCCTCCTCCTCTTCCTCCTCCTCCTCCTCCTCCTCCTCCCTTTTGGCGTTAGGCGAGTTTTACATCCCACCAGCCCTCTGGGCATAGGTGGTCTAGCCAGTAATGTCTTCTTTCTGCCAAAACCTCCTCCTTTCCCTGCTCTGGGGAGGTGTTTGTTGCCCCTGCCACTACCCCCTCTCCTGGACCTGGGAGGGGGTTGGCCCGAGTCGTCCGAACGTCCAAGATGGCCCAAGATGGCTCCAAGAGGGCCTCGGAGAGCTCAAGACGGCCTCCAAGAGATGGCCCAAGATAGCGGTATATGGCTCAAGATAGCGTCCGACACGCATCCACGTGGCCTCAAGACGGCCCCAAGCCACAAGAGGACCCCGAGAGGGCCCCAAGACGGCGTCAACAGCGCCCAAGAGCGCTCCAAGAGCGGGCCAAGAGGGCCCCAAGACAGCATTGTTGAGCTTTCGAGGGGGGGGGGGTACATTGAGTACCCCCCCCCTCTGTTTGAACCATGGGCCCCAAGATGGCCCCAAGAGGCCTCTCAGACACCCCCAACGAGCCTCAAGCGGGCTGTGTAGGTACGTTGTGGAAGAACGTTGTGTAGGAGTAGGAATGAGGAGGGAGGAGTAGGAAGAGGCGGAGGAAAAGGAGCAGGAGGAGGAGGAGGAGGAGGAGGAGGAGGAGGAGACAGGAGGAAGGTGGAAGGATGAGGGGAGAAACGGGCGAGGACATGGGAAGGATGAGGAAGAGGAGGGGAGAAGGAGGCTGAGAAGGAGAAGGGCGAGGAAACCTGCCAACGACAGGGCGAGACGCGGAGAAAGAGGGCGAGGCGAGCTCCTCCGTCCTCTTCTCTCCCCCCCTCCCCTCCCTCCCCTTCCCCTTCCCCCACCCCTTCCCCTCGCCTCCCCTTCCCGCCTGGTTCTCTTCCGTCTTGTTTCCCCTCCCTCTCCTCCCCTCCTCGCCCCCCCTTGGAGCACCCCCTACCCCCTCTCTGCTGCTACCGCCGTCGCCGTTCGCGCCGCCGCGGCCGCAAGGGTCCCCGCCTGAATCGTTACGAATAGTTATGAATTGTTATGACAAGGTATGAATTATTATGACATGCCATGAGTAGTTATGTATAGTTAGGATTCGTATGAATAGAAGCTGCGCTATCTATCTTACGCAAGTTCGCTATTTCATACTCGTAGCAAATTACAACTCCCCGAATGCAAAACAGCACACCGAAGAGGCCGAGCATGCACCACAACATTAGCCGTGTGTGTGTTGTGAAGGTGTCGGAGGTTTTGGTTCCTGGGGTCGCAAGTCTCCCCCCAGACTTCCCCTGGGGGGAGTACTGACCAGACGACTTCAGCCGTGGCGACGAGAAGCTCCTTGCAGGCACAGCAAGCCTCGATCGTCGAATCGGAGTTCGGTCCCTCGAGCCCCAGAACGGGATGAAAGCCTTGGGGGTCTCAGTATGGTAAGGCTTGGAGCTGCGCACAGACAGCACCCGCAGGCAGTCCAGGCTGGCCTCAACAGGCCCCCCCAAGTGGTCCCAGGTGGCCTCCACGGGTCCCTCGAGTAGGCCCAGGGCGGTCTCAACACCTCAGCCCTGTGGCGCGGAGCGACGCCTCAGGCGGCGTTGGGGTGTTGAGACCGCCCCAGGCTCCTCGTGGGGGAATTTGAAGCCAACTGGGTCTCTCCGGGGGTGCTTGTCGAGCGCAGCTTCGCTGTCGTGTACTACAGTCAAGATGTAGAGGTGAGCGATTGCTTTCTGTTTGATTGGTTGATATATATATATATATAGAGAGAGAGAGAGAGAGAGAGATATGTATGTATGTATATATATATAGAAATAGGTAAATATATAAGAGGGAGTGCTTGTCGAGGCCAGCCGGGGCTGCCTGGGGGGGCTCACTGCAGTGCAGCCCGAAGCCTTGCCATCGCGGGCCCCCTGGCTTCCCCCGCCGAGGTCCTCCTCGAGTTCGCCGAAGGCGACCTGGTCGCCGACACCCGGGTGACCCTGGCGGCGGAGCTGGCTGGGTTGATCGAGAGGCGCACGCCGAATTTCGGGCTCTCGGCCGGCCCAAGATTAGACAGAGAATCACCGAAGTTTCTGATCGCGTTGCTTTAAATGTATATCGGCGAATATCGTCCAATAGCGCCCTTTATCGCGCGCTCCGCGCCCAATAGCGTTCAACGGTGCCGAATATCGTACAAATGGCGCCTAAAAGCGCCCAGTGACGCCCTATGCGCGATTTGGGACGCGCTTCGGGGTGCCATGGGTAGGAGCAACAGCTTCTGGGAGTTGGTTTCTAGTCAAGGGATCTTTGGGCGCTGACCCTAAAAACGACTTTGGGCGTGGGTGGGTCGGTAGAAGGGAAGGGTGCACGTACACCGATCCTTTCAGATGCAACTCCTGGAGGTCAAATTCTTACTTAGCCTTGGTCCGAAATTCGGGTTACTTTCTCTTAATCCCGCTAAACTTGGCTTAATCCCGCTTGGTCTGGCTGAATCCCGCCTAATCCGCGGCCGAAGCCGGCGCAGCAGCTCCCCAGTGGCGCTGAATCCCCGTGAACCTGTCCGACGAGGACCTCCCAGCAGTTGCCTCCTAAGATCTTGGCCATGCCCTTCCTGGGCCCACTTGGTCCACCCTGCCACAGCAAGGGCGCCCAAATCCCCATCGTGTTGAACCACACAACAATGTTTTCTGTATCCTCGGTACCCGGGAGCCCTCGCCGGGCCCTGGGACTGTTCGAAGACGACTCGGGGCGAAAACACTGGCCCCGGGAAAAGGTCGAGACTTCTGCAGAAGAAGCATAAACGGCATAAACATAAATTGTCGACGGTCCGCGCGGACTTCTTGGATCCCTCCTCCTCCTTCTCCTCCTCCTCCTCCTCCTCCTCCTCCTCCTCCTCTCCCTCCTCCTCCCCCTCCTCCTCCTCCTCCTCCTCCTCCTGAGGAGGGGAATGGATGGATGGATGGATGGATGGATGGATGGATGGAAGGAGGGATGGATGTATGCAGCCAAGCCAGGAGGCCGCGTGCCCCGATCCTGGGCCCACGGGGGGGCCGAGGAGGGGTCCGCGTGAAGTCGAGACTGCCTGCGGGGGGGGGGGGGCGGGAGAGAGGACGCGCGCCGCTGCCGAGGGCGGCCCGTGCTCCAGAAAGGGGGGGGGGACGTGAGTCAGGAGGAAAAAAAGCACAGACACGATTCATCCTCGATCCCCTGGAAAATATGGGAAAATATGGGAAGTGGGGGGGAAGACGAAGGCCCAGAGCATATGGGAAAATATGGGGAATCTGGTCATTTGTGTGTATTTGTTTGTGTGTCCCAGGGCCCCTTCAGTGAGACGCGGCAGACATGAGGCGCGAGGGCACCCGCAGATCCGATGTAATTATTAACTATTGTCTTTACCTTCAAGGGGGAAGCAATGCCATAATCATAAACTTTTGGCGGTCTGCGCGGATTTCTTGAATCCGCGCTGGGCGCGTCGGCGGCGCCTCTGGCGCCGGCCCTGGCGCGCTCCGCGCGCCAGGGAGGGGCGTCCAGCGCAGATCCAAGAAATCCGCGCGGACCGTCGAAAGTTTATGATTATGCCGTTTATACTTCTTCTGCAGAAGTCTCGACCTTTTCCCGGGGCCATTTTTGTTCGCCCCAAGTCGTTTTCGAACGGTCCCGGTGCCCGGCGAGAGCTCCCGGGCAGCGAGGATGCAGAAACCATTGTTGTGTGGTTCAACACGATGGGGCTTTGGGCGCCCTTGATTTGGCAGGGTGGACCAAGATGTCCCGCTGTGCGGAATTTGAGAACGTATCATGGACGATGGCGACGACGATTGCGTTGCAATTTCTGTGGACCTCATCAATGTTTGAATTTTTTGTTGCATCCTGGCGATAGCAGGCGTCACATGGGGGGCAAGGGTGTGTGTGGCCAGTCACTGGCGATATTGCGGATAACGATTACCCGAGACGTGCCGAACTCTTTCTCCACGCGAGGCTTGTGATGCCCCAACCTACATTAGCCTTGATCACCAGGAAGAATTTCGAGCGCCCCCAAAAAGTACCGAAACTCAAGGGTTTTCACGTGCCAGGCCCTGGGAGACACTCGCCCGACACTGTTTCGACACTGTTTCGGCACTCATTGGACACTTTTCTGGGTGCTCGAAATTATTTCTGGGATGCGGTCCTTAAGTAGGACGGGAACAACATAACGCGAGGCGAACATGTGCATGGACGCTCCATGCCAAAGAACACGTCGCCAGAAATGCACAGTCTGCGCTGCCCTCGTCTCCGCCGTGTCGCTCTGGAGCCCACGAACCTGGTGACAATTACGCACTTCGCAGCTTCCCAGGGAGCCGCGAGGTCTCGGCTGGATCCGCGTGGTCCCTGACTCCGCTGGACCTTCCAGGAGCCTGAGGCGTGGCATAAAGGGATCGAGGAGGAGGAGGAGGCGGAGGAGGAATTAGGAGGAGGAGGCGGAGGAGGACCGCTGACGCTGTGGGTGTGAGTGCCCTGCGGCTCGCCCAAGAAGAAGGTAGGAGGGTCGAACCCTCGACCCGAGGGGGAGGAGGATCCAGGAGGATCGAGGAGGAGGAGGAGGAGGAGGAGACCCCCGATGTCACGACCCTCTGCGCGGACGGCTTTTCGTCCCGAGTCGTCTTTTTGTTAAGCCCCCAGGGCCCAGTGAGGGTCCTTGCAGGGCCGAAGGCGGCGAAAATACGCCGCTTTGTCTGTTCGGCCGAGGAAGAAGAGGTTCGAGGAGGATCGAGGAGGAGGAGGGGAGATCGAGGAGGAGGAGGAGGAGGCGGAGGGTCTGGTAGGATCGAGGAGGAGCAGGAGGAGGAGGAGGAGGAGGAGGAGGAGGAGGAGGAGGAGGAGGAGGATGGTTTTGGGTCATAAAAGGGGAGGAATCGGGGTACATCGCCGATCCTGTACAAATCCGTGCCCTCCTTCGACAGAGTATGCTCTTGGCGTTTTTTCTCGCAGGAGGGCGAGGATCGGGGAATGGCGAGCAGAAGCAGGAGGAGGATCGAGGACTATATGAGAGGAGCATCGAGGAGGAATGCAATGGAACGAGGATCGAGGAGGAACATTGGGGTTCGAGAAGGAGGAGGATCGAGGACGGTACCGAGCAGGAGGATCGAGGCGGAGCACCGAGGAGGAGGATCGAGGAGGATCGAGGAGGAGGAGGAGGAGGAGGAGGAGGAGGAGGAGGAGGAGGAGGAGGAGGGACCGGAGCGAAATGCCTGGCAACCTGCGATCCCCCGCCCAATGCTGGACGCAGGACCCGTGGCACGGGCCACCCTCACTTCGAGGGGCGTCAGCACCAATTCCAACCGCTCCGACAGAAGCGTCAGCCTCCACGGCGGCACCCGCCCATTACGGGGCTCAGACCTCCCGTGCTTCCTCCAGTTTTGCTCTACCGACGGCACAACCACTGCTCAGCTGGCTCCTGGTATTCCGCGTATCTCACCAGTACACCGCCTCCCAACTACGCACTCACTGCCACCACGGCAGCAGCAGCAGCAGATCACGCGGCGCGGCACCGCAGCACCTATTTCCAGCAACGCCACCAAGAGTGCACGAGTGGAGCCGTCACACCACCAACGTCACGCCTACGTCTACCGCTGCAGGGCCGTGTGCTCCATGAGCCTTGTCGTCGCCGCCGCCACACTACGTTTCCATCCACTTCTTGCGTTTCCCGAGCTCCAGTCACCTCTGCTACTCCAGTGGCATTGCCTACCGCTTCCACCTTCGCCACTACCCCCCCCCTCCGAGGAGCCTCAAGCCCGAACGAACATACTAACATACACCTCCCCCTCCTGTTCTCTCCCCGCAATCCCTTTTTCCCCCGCCCGGCGACCCCTACCCTCCTCCACCTCGCCCCACCCTTGCCACTGGTAACGGGGGGCGGGCTATGATTTCGTCACAGATAACGGGGACACAGAAAACACACCACCCGGGAGTGCAGCACCCACAGGTGCTGTGCAGCCACAGGTTCTTGGCATTGAAAGACACCGAGGGGGCCACCACTCACCCACCTCGGGGGGTGGTGATCCCGCTCGGGCACCATCCTCGCCTTACTCTCGCACTTCTTCCCACCTCTTGCGCATACCCTCCTCACAGGTTCGTTGCAGCCTTCGCGCTGTGTTGCGACGCTCAGGTCCATACCTATTCCACCCACTTCCTACCCGCACACCCTAACCTCGCTGCGCGCACACACCTCCAGCCCGCACGCCTTGTTGGACCTCCGGACCTCGGGCTGATTGGAGGGCGGGCCCCTACTTCATGTTTGGCGACCCGGGGTGAGCCCCAGCCCCCTAGGGGGTTGGTACCCACACCGCCGCCGAAACCTGACCCCCTCCCGTCTCCCTCAGGTGATTTGACCATTATCAGCATCATCATCAGCATCATCATCATCTTCATTATCAACATCGTCACCATCACCATCATAATCATCGCCGTCGTCATCGTCACCCATCACAATCATAATCGGCATCGTCACTGTCATCATCATCATCATCATCATCATCATCATCATCATCATCATCATCATCATCATCATCATCATCATCATCATCATATTGCTGCCCGCGGCTTTTTGTGGCTCTCTTTCGGGCCGCACTTCCATTCTCAAGCTTCTCAGGTGTCCTGCCCAGGAATGCAGGACCTCGCCCACCATGCTGCGGACGTCCTGAGGTTCGGGGCGCAGGCACTGGGGGCCTCGCTGGTGGCCCGCGCTTCGGCTCCCAGCTGCGGGTCCTGCTCCCCACATTTGGCGTGTCCCGCGCCGCCGACCCTCTCCTGCCCATCCTGCGTGTGCGCGGGCGCGGGCGGGCAGGTGGTCGAGCCCTCGTGCGCGGGCATCGTGGCGGCGTACGCTGTGGCCGCCTGCACGGTCGGGCTCGCCGTCGGCGCTGGTGCAGGCGTCCTCGCGGCTCGTCGTGCACTTGCTCCGCCGCTCGAGCCCACGGGTGGTGAGCTGCCCACGGAGGTGATCGACATCGACGCGCTCGCTGCCGAGCAGGTGAGGCTTGCTCGCCGCCGAGCCCCAGCACTTCAGTGATGGCGGGAGGCTTCCACGCTATTCGCTACCGCGTGGGAGGTGTGGCTTTGTGGCACGAGCGCTTAGTGCTCGGGGTCTCGGCGGGGTTCGCGTATGTCGTCACGCCCGACTTCGACGACTACGATGAGCCGATCGTGGTGGGGCCCGACGTGCGGGCCGTGCTGCCGCTGGCTGGACAGGGCGACACGCCTGCTGCGCTGGTCGGCGCCGCAGTGCATCGATTCAGACGCTTGCCGACGGCCGCGGAGCTGTGGGCTGCCGTGGGTCGCTCCGTGGCCGCGGGGTACCCGATGCCAGCGGACCCTCTTCTTCTGGCTCTCGCGGCGGGCAACGCTGCAGGCGCGCCTCCAGGGCCCTTCCCGCTGGCGGACCCAGCAGCTGCGGCCGCCGCCGCGCCTGCGCCGCCTCTCGCCCTACCACCTGCGGATGGTCCTGCTGCTCCCGTCCCGCCGGGGGCCGCCCCTGGAGTCGCGGCGCTGGCCGCCGCTCTGGGACCCGTGCCACCTGGCCCTGCCGCGGCGCCGCCGCTGGCGCCTGTGCCTGGAGCTGCGGCTGGTGGCGCTCTCGCGGTCGATGCTCTTCCCGTTCCTGCTGGCGACTTCAGGGTGCTGCCGATGGCGATCAACCAGCGGGGCGAGCGCGAGCGGAGGTTCGGCGAGACGGTGAACGACCTCTCAGAGACCGAGGTGGTGGGCTGGCCCATCCAGGGCCCGCGTACTCTTCTCTGGTGCTTGTCCTTTATGTCAACCATGGCGGGGACGCCCACCGCGTGGCATCAGCGGTGGCTCACGGCCATGGCCCTGGCCGACGACGACGAGTACGCCAAGCTCCATGAGACCCTCTGTCGGGTCTTAGACCTCGCCGTGGTCTACGACCAACTGCAGGTGGCGGAGATGGCGTCCTTCGAGGTCGTCGCGCGCCAGCTTCAGCTGCTGGAGGAACGGGTGTACGAGTCTCGCTCGGCGCCCCCGACGGCTGCCGCGCCCAAGGCCAAGTCTGGAGCCAGGAGCGCCGCGACGGCCACCGCCGTCAGCATGGCCGAGACGAGCTACTTCTTGGGCGCGGGGGTCTCCAAGGCCAACTTGTGCATCTCTCCGAAGCTGCTCGAATACATCGCAGATCAGATGAGGGCGGAGGCCGCCATCAGCAAAGAACGACGCAAGGCGCGTGAGGAGCGTGCCTTGCGGGCGCCATGATATCTGAGAAGTCCAGGCCTGGCTGTGGGGCGCGCCTCAGTGGCGCCAGCCAGGCGCATTGCCCCAGCGCTGCTCATCAAGTTCGGCAGCGTGACGTTTTTCCTCTCCGTCCTATCCCTGTGGAGCGACGATCTGGCATCGCGTCGATGGGTGGTTCAGCCCGCGGACGGGCCGCCAAGGGTGCTGCCTGGAGAGAGTGGTACAACGATGCCGTGTCCACCCTCAACGACATGTACCATTGCGACCCTGATGATATGGCTACTCCGCCTCCAGGTCTTCCTCCGCGCGCTCGTAGCGACGCTGAAGAGTATCTTGCTCAACAGTTTCGCGATTTTGAACTACCTCCTGGATATTCCGAATCTCCGATCAGATGCGAGGCAGCCCTGGCAGAGTTGCTCGCGTCGGCGCCTGGATACTCTGGTGAGTCTCGGGTGAGACCCTACGACAAGGAGCTCGTCTCCTGGCCGAAGCACGTGGCCCCCGTTCCCCCGGCCGATCTCGTGTCCGACGCCGATCGTTCAACGTTGTCAGGGTGGAGGCAACAAATGCTACGTGATCCCGCGGAGACAGCTACTCTCAGGAAGGACTCGGGCATCGGTTCGCCATGCGTGGATCCTCGCCTTCGGTTTCGCCCTCGGGAGTATGCTGATTTTTTGCTGCGCTTGGATCAGGCTGGCATGCTAGAGTGGGAGGTCGCCGAACGTCAGGCGCCCTACTCCACGGGCTTCTTCTTCGTCGAGAAATCCAATGGGGTCAACCTTCGGCTCGTCTTCGACACGCGGGTTGCCAACATGTCCTTCTCTGCCCCCCTTTCTACGAGATTGCCGACTCCGTCGGCCTGGAGTGCTCTCGAGGCTTCGGATGACTTCTACGTGGCGCAGGGTGACATCCAGTGCGCATTCTATCACATGAAGTTGCCGCCCCAGCTGCACAGATATTTCTCTCTGCCAGTGGTCCCGAATCGGCACTTGGGTTTCAAGGCAATCAATGGACTGAAGCTCCCCACGAAGGCATTCTTACAACCGTTTGTGTCTGTGATGCCGATGGGGTGGTCGTGGGCTCTCCACTTTTGCCAGTCAGCCTTAACCGCAGCCATGCGCGACTCGGGGATCGACGATGATGCGATGCTGGTAGACGGTTCAGCACCTCGTCCTCTGCGAGACCATGGCGACATCATCGCAGCTGGCTACGTGGATAACTTCGCCACCGTCTCACTCAGTCCAGAAGTTGCCACCGCTTCGTGCCGGGCCATTCGAGACGTGCTGGTTGCGAGGGGCTTACCTGTAGAAGAGTTCGCCCCCGCGGCGCAGCGCGTCACCTTCGCTGGCCTCGACATCTTGGGCGACGTCGGCGTCATCAGGTGCAAGGTGGACCGGTTGTCTCGGTTGCGCCAGGCCCTGCTTGGGCTACTCAGACGTGGCTTCGCATCTCCGCTTGCGTTGTCCGCCGTGGTCGGGCACTGCACCTGGGGGATGATCACCAACAGGCCCATGCTCTCCATCTTCCACGCAGTCTACCGCTTCATGGGTCAGGACTCGCGTCGGGCTTTGCCGCTGTGGCCGTCAGTCGTCTCTGAGCTCCGTGCCGCTGCTTCCCTCATCCCGTTGTGGTGGGCTGATGTCAGGGCAGAGTGGGCGGCCACCACCTTTTGCAGCGACGCCTCTCCATACGGCATTGGCGTGTGTCGCAAGTTCGTGGAACAGGAGGTCGTTGCTGCCGCAGGTCGACTGTCTGAGAAATGGCGCTACCGCTTCTCCGATGCCGTGCACGCCCGCGCCCACGCTCTGGGAGTCGACCCGAACGTCGTGTTGGAAGCTGCCGTGAGCAAAAGAGGCCTCAAAGACTGCGAGCAGTGCCCGAGGCCTCCCGAGGCCCAAAGCAAGCCCTCGCCCACCGCGTCATCATCACCTCGAGGGCTCGACGAGATTTCGCTGGACGGCTTCGACGAGGTTCCCGACTCGATCACGGCTTCCGACGGCTGGTCTACGATATATAGCGCACGGCATTCGAGGTTCGGTTTGGACATCATGCGATACGAGGCGGAGGCTCTCGGATTTGCGATGCGACACTCGTCTCGGTCTGGGCGGCTTCGACATCATCGCATCCTGTTCACCGTCGACAATTTGGCTCTAGCCCTTGCTGCTGGCAAGGGACGTTCTGGTGCCCGAGGGCTTCGCGATCCACTACGACGCCTCTGTGCTCTGTCCGCAGCTTCTGGCATTCGCCACGCTGTGCGATGGATCCCTAGCGAGAGCAATGCCGCAGACTCGCCGTCGAGGACAGGTCTCTTTGTCGGGCCGACCTTCGAGGAGCACCAAGCGGGTGCACCCCGAGTTTCGGCGCCAGCGAGCCACGACCGTGACGGAGCAGAGGACCAATACGCATCCAGGACCACAACGGCTCGGGCGGGGTGCGCTCTCGGTCCTCGAGTCAGCTGCCGTGTCGGACACAACCATGGCCAACTACTGGGGCGCCGCCAAGAAGTTCGAGGAGTGGTGCCGCTGGACGTCCCAGACCTTCACCACGGCGGCGGAGGTCGATGTCATCCTAGTTACCTACTTCGTGAACCTCTTTCTGGACGGATTCGACAGTGCTACGGGCCGAGTCCTGCTCGCCTCCTTGAAGCACTACCTGCCTTCGATCCTGGTGGGCAGGACGCCGTGCCCGCGTGCAGCTCGCGCCTTGACAGGCTGGCGGAAGCTCGTGCCCCCGCAGATGCGACTACCCCTTCCACGGGCGGCGATGGCCTCCATCGTGGGCGTCCTCATCTCGTGGAAGCTCTTCGGCATGGCAGTGTTCGTCAGGCTGATGTTCGACACCTACCTGAGGCCCAGCGAGGCCTATCGGCTAACAGCGGGCAGCGTTATTCGACCAAGACCCGATGCCGCCCGCGGGTACGGACATTGGGCCCTGATCGTCAACGACGCCTGCCTCGATCGTCCTGGGAAGACAGGGGAGATGGACGAGAGCGCGATCGTCGACAACCCGACGCTCTGGCCCCTTCTCGACGCGCTGGTGCTGGGCAAGAAGACGAGCGACGGCCTCTGGACCTTCGCCCCCGACGAGGTGCGGAGCATGTTCCGTCGCGCTGCCGCTGCGCTCGGGTTGGAAGCCGAGATGACGCTCTACTCCCTTCGGCATGGGGGTGCGTCCGACGACCTCCTGTCTCTCCGACGCACCAGGAAGGAGGTCAAGGACCGCGGCCGATGGAGGACGGACCAGAGCCTCCTCCGCTATGCCAAGAGGGCTCGTATGCAGCAGCGGATCGCCTCCCTAGGCCAGAACCTGATCGACTTCGGGCACGCGGTCGACTCGCAGATGAACGATCTCATTCTGCAGACCACCTCCTCAGGCGTCTTCCCGCTGCAAGTGCCGCTTGCCGTGACGCCGACACCGCCAGCGGTCAGGCCTCCGCCCCCGCGGGTGACAGCGCGGTGGGCCTTCGCCTGACGAGGATTTGGCGTGCAGCCAGGCAAGCTGCGACGCGGTCCAGGTACTCGCCCGCCCTAGTAATTGGCGGCGACGGCGGCGCGGCTCGCGCTCTGCAGCGCCTCGGCTTTGGCGTGCTGCACTTGAAAGTGAGACGCCATGTTACTGATGACATCACAGGTCCTTTAGTGATGAAGCGCGTGCTCGGATGGATTCGTGCAGGCTGTATCTCGTGCGTGCGGGTGGAGCCCGACACGACTACGTGGCTCCCTCAGAAGCCCGCTGTCCGTAGCAAAGCTCGAGCCAACGGCCTGCCGAGTCTGTCCAGTGTCCAGCTTCGATCAGTTGCCATTGCGAATCTGTTTCTCAGTCATTTTGTGCGCCTTCTGTCAGTGTGTAGCGACAATAAGGTTCCAGCCGCGCTGTGTCATCCAGATGCGTCTTTCATCTGGGATGTCCCTTCTTGCAAAGCTATAGTTAGCCAATGTTCGCCTGCTGCCGTCTTCGATGCATGTATGTTCGCTGGCCGTATAAAGACAAGATTTCGATAAGTGAGCTGGCATGTACAAGACATGAGTTCTCTTTCTGCTATCTGTTCGCCGGCCGACTCGCGTTGCTGCCGATCTGGGAAACGGCATCTTGGCGAGCTCGGCATCCCATTTTTAGATCGGCAGGTACGCAGCAAAGCGCCGCGGCTCCCCGCTAATGTTCTAGGATGCGCCTGCGACAGGATGGCTCTCAGTGTTGATTCGCTTCGCTACATTGCTCGGCAGATCAGAGCTGTGTGAATTCAGTTAATGCGGCTTTCAAGCCAGTGGGATGGGCTAGCCTAGGTACCTGGCGCATCGCGACAGCATGCGTCCGCTGTCCTCGCCTGTTGCCGAGTCCTTTGCACAAAAAGATAGCCCCTGGCCTCCAGAGTTGCCCGCATATTGCTGCCCGCGGCTTTTTGTGGCTCTCTTTCGGGCCGCACTTCCATTCTCAAGCTTCTCCCGCCCGCCCTGTTTCCCGCTCTAGAATGTTGTACCTGGTGCATCGCGACAGCATGCGTCCGCTGTCCTCGCCTGTTGCCGAGTCCTACAGCATGCGTCCGCTGTCCTCGCCTGTTGCCGAGTCCTTTGCACAAAAAGATAGCCCCTGGCCTCCAGAGTTGCCCACATCATCATCATCATCATCATCATCATCAGTACCAGTGCCAGTATTAGTATCAGTATCATAAATATTGTCATCATCACCATCATCATCTCAAGCATGAGGATTACCATTTCCATTACCACCACCATCACCGTCGCATCATAACCATCATCGCCATCATCATCAACTTGATCATCATCAACAGTACCATCATCACCAGCATCATCAGCCTCATCCTCATCACCATCATGACCATCATCAATCAGCATCAGCATCATCATCAGCATTGTCAGCGTCATTAGCACCACAACTGGCACGATCAGCATCATCATTCGTATGATGAGTTGCAGTGTGCTTAGTATAATATGCAGTGTGGGCATCATCACCATCTTCGCGCCCGTCCCCCACGTGGCTCTCCCTCAGTTATTGTTGCTTCTCCAGCACGATCAAGGAGGAGGGGCGAGGATCGAGGAGGCGGCCCCCGTCCCGAGGGGCGACCCCCGCCTGGAGCACCTGGCGATCGTGCGCGCGGCCGTGGCGCGGGGCGAGCGCGCGCCGCGGCGCCCCTGGCCCGAGGATGCCCCCCGGCCGCCACTGGGCGGGGCCCCCTCGCTCGTGCCCGGGGGGCGCCCAGGTTCCGGGGGCAGCGTCAGGGGACGTCGCCCTGGCAGGAGGAGGAGGAGGAGAGGGAGGAGGAGGAGGAGGAGGAGGAGGAGGAGGAGGAGGGGGAGGGGGAGGAGGAGGAGGAGGAGGAGGAGGAGGAGGAGGAGAGGAGGAGGAGGAGGAGGAGGAGGAGGAGGAGGAGGAGGCGGAGGAGGAGGAGGCGGAGGAGGAGGAGGAGGCGGAGGAGGGGACGTGGAGGAGGGCAGGAGGGCCAAGGAGGGGGCGCAGGAGGGGAGGGGGACGTCAGGGTCTCCTCCTCCTTGCCTTTTTCCTCCTCGTCCCCCCTCCTCTCCTCCTCATCCGCCCCCTCAGCTTCCTTCTCCTTCACCTCCTCCTTCCGCTCCGTTTTCGTGTTCCTCCCCCCTTCGCCCCGTCCTCCTCTTACTCCCTCCTCTCGTCATAATTCCTATTCCCCTCCGCCCCCGCTCGCTTGGCACATGCTCTGTCTGTCTGTCTCTCTCTCTCTCATGCTCTTTCTCTTTCTCCCCTCTCTCCCTCGGTCTCTGACCTAGCTTTGGGTTCGAGAGGTTTCCTCTCTCTCTCTCTCTTTCTCTCTCACTCTCTCCCTCGGTCTCTGACCCAGCTTTGGCTCTAGGGGGCTTCCTCGGAACGCATCCCCCGTGCCTCCAGGCCGCCGCCGCAGCGGCCATGGTGCGGCAGCGAGCCAGTTGTGCCCCTATCCGTCGGCGGCAGCTGGCGACGGAAAGGGACCCACAGATCTATGCAGTTCAATGTCGTCCAGTTTGTCCCCGAGTGCGTCCACCAGGCAGTCTCCGTCACCAGCGGACGCCTGCGGCAAGGCGACCAATTGCCCATGCCATCCCAGCGGGCGTGCCTCCGTCATGCTTTCCCCCCCCGTGGGCGAAACACAGAGTTCGCGCGTCTTGCGTTGTGTCTCGAAGCAGTCCATCATGGTGGGAGTTATCTTCTTCGTCTTCCCCTGTTTGACGACGAGGTTACTCTTGATTGATTTGGCGCTCGTGCTGCTGTTCTACAATATATACTCCCGCGCATGTTATCCACGCGCTCCGTGCCGATCTTCGCAATGCCCGCGACAATGTCTGTGCTCTTCGCGCTGAGCTCTTGCGCCGCCCCCGCCAGCCAGGGTGACCCTCACGCTTTGGACGGCGTTCTCCATGGAGCCGTGATCACCGCGACCACCTACCTGAAACCCCACGTGACCTTCGTGCCGTCTTCCATGCCGAAGCCTGGCCACCCGCGGAGCAGGGGTGCCACCAGGGCGGGATTGCGGACAGCCTGATGTGCCAGAGCATCACGGCCATGCCGGCGGGTTCCAGGCCCAGTTCAGCATCGTTTATCCGACCCCCATCCCCATCCTCATCCCCTTGGGGGGCCCTGTCGGCCCGATCCGCCTGTGTCCTGGAGGCGTGAGCAGAGAGGAAACCTCCTCCTCCCTCTTCTTCTTCCTCCTCCTCCTCCTCCATCTCCCGCTCCCCCTTCCCCTCCTCCACCTCCTCCACCTCCTCCTCCTCCTGCTCCTCCTCCTCCTCGGGCCGCCTGCGGCCCCGGGGGAACACCGTGCAGATCTGGGATGAGAGTCTGGCCCCGGGGCAGGGGTCGGGGCTGCCGCGGTCCCCGTGTGGAGCAACCAGCAAGGCATCGGACGTCTGGGCCGCTCGCTCGCAGGCCCTTCTCCGGCCCTCTCTTCCCGGGGGGCCTGCCTCCACAGGGCCAGGCCGATCGTTGGTCCTCCCCTCCGCCCTTCCTCGCGTCCCTTTCCCTCCCCCATCCGACATCCGCCTCCTCCGCCTCCTCCTCCTCCTCCGCCTCCTCATCCTCCCGCCTCCTCCTTCTCCTCCTCCTCCTCCTCCTCCGCCTCCTCTTCCTCCTCCTCCTGCTCTCCCTTCCTCGTTCGCTTCCTGCAGCTCTCTCTTTCTGCCGCTCTCCCCCCTCTCGTCCAGGAGGCCTCCGGGTCCCCCCACAGAGAAGCAAAGGCATGGAGAAGCAGATGGCATCTCAAGTGTGCCCTTGAAACACACGTTTGTCCCCTCCTAGGGCGGGGGAGGGCGTCCTCCTCACTCCCCACGTTCCTCCCCGTCCTTATCCCCCCTCCTCCCCCCCCATTCCTCCCTCCTGTCCTCCGCATCGTTGCCCTCCCTCCTCCTCTTGGCTGAGCACGACAACGACACCTTCCAAGCGACTCGCTTCTGCGGTCTGCGCGCGCATGAACCAAGGCTTTCAAGTCTGCGCGCGCATTCCAAGGCTTCTTCTGATTGGTTAGGCCTTCCATGTCCGCGCGCGCATTAACCGAGATAGGTCTCTAGAACCCCCCACCAATAGTAGAACATTGCGATTTCTCCTCTACCTTCCCTCCTTGTCCTCCTCCTCCTCCTCCTCCTGCTCCTCCTCCTCCTCCCTCTCCTCCTTCTCCTTCCTAGGACGGAGACGAGGAGGAGAAGGAGGAGGACGAGGACCAGTGTAAACCAAAGACTCACCAACGATGTTCGAGCAAGCAGGAGCAGGAGAGGGGAGCAGGACGAAGAGGAAGAGGAAGATGAGGAGGAGGGGAAATATGAGGAGGAGCAGGAGGAGGCGGAGCAGCAGGCGGAGGAGGAGGAGGGACGAGCTTCATTCCCCGCCGAGAGACAGGGTGGAATGAGGGAGTAAAACTGAAGGCACCCCGCGGTCACGGGGCCGCTCCGGGGCTGCGCGTCCAGCAGACCCAGGGGCCCGATGGCAGGCCGGCTCCGGCTCCGAAACCCAGTTTTCCGGCGGCCAGCAGGGCCAGCTCCGATCTGATATGAAAATATAATTCAACAAGCATGGGTGTTCTGAGGCGTGCGCTGTCCTCTGACAGCGTCTGCCCACGGCATGCCGTTTCCTTTGTCCATAACGACCGATCCGATAGCCAATCCGATGCCGGATTCGGTTCCAGATTCCGACTTTCCGAAGATTTGATGCGACCCGACTTCCCGATGTTGACTGGTCCTGCAGCTGGGAGACCCGAGGCGGGGAGCCATACATGACCACCGCCTGGAGCATCGATCTTCGGGGACCTCGGCAGGCGGTGGGCAAGGATGTATCCGGGACCCAGACATATCCATACCCACCGCCCCCTTAGGTTCCCAGGGCATCTGTTCCTCAGGCGGTGGCTGCGGATGCGACCCCGCTTCGCAGGACAGCACTTGCATCGTCGAGCGTGCGCCGCACAACGTGCGCGGCTGGTCGCTCATGGTCTCGGTGCACTCCACCGCGGGGGACAGCGGCCTGGAGCTGAAGCTCGCCGCCCTCGACGTGGGCGGCTCAGGGGACGAGTTCCTGCTGCACCTGAGCTGCGCGGACCTCGAGGCCTCGGGGTGGGGTGGAGGGTTTCTCCGAAGGGCTGAGGCGACGCGTCCTCCTCCTCCTCCTGCCTCCTCCTCCTCCTCCTCCTCCTCCTCCTCCTCCTCCTCCTCCTCCTCCCCCTCCTCCTCCTCCTCCTCCTCCTCCTCGTCCTTTCTCCTCCCCCTCCTCCTCCTCCTTCTCTCCTCCCTCCTCCTCCTCGTCCTCCTCCTCCTCCTCAATCTTCTCCTTCTCCTGCCCCACCTATTCCTCCCCCACCTCTTCCTCCTCCACCTCCTCCTCCTCCTCCTCCTCCTCCTCCTCCGCCTCCTCGGGTCGACTACGGCCCCGGGGGAAACCGTGCAGGGGCGGCAGGGACGGTCGGGGCTGAGGGGAGCCTTGCCATCTTGGCGTCGCACTTCTTTCACAATGGGCGACTTGCCTCATGTCCGTTTCCTGAACCCTCAAGGATCGATCCGGCCGACTTGTTCTACGATGTTTTTTTGCGCGGATGCCGGTTCTCAAGGGATGATGGTTTTTTGAATATCACATGCTTTTCGCCCAGGTGGCGATGGGAAAGGCATGGCAGGAGCTTGGGGGACCTTGGGTTTTCTTCTCTCATTATTTCTCTCTTCTGTCTTCCTCTCTCACTCTCTCTCTCTCTCTCTTTTGTGTGGGTCTCTCCATGGGAACGACGTCGGACACGACACCGACGGCGACCATCTTGCGAACGTGTGATCCAGCAAGCTGCTTGACCTTGGGCTGATTCTCCCGTTCCCTTGCCCATGCCTGCTAAGTCTATGAACCAACCTTTTGAGGGGGTTTTCTTTTCATACCTGTTACTGCGAGAAACGTCCTGCAGTGCACTCTGCGTGTGCACCACGCCGCCATGGCTGTCATGCGAGCTAACACGCCCGCCAGCAATTCGCCAACATGACTGAACTGCGTCTCGTGCTGGGCTGCCTTTCCGACCAGGTTGTCTCTGGAGTAAATTGTGAGGATGTGTCAAGCGGGAGCCGTTGTCGTCGTTGCTGGGCCGTCACCAATGAATGAGTTGCGGGGACATGTCAGGCGAGATCGTCCTTCTCGAGTTTGGCCAGGGCCTCTCAGGATAAATTGTGGGGAAGTATCAGGCGGGAGCCGTTGACGTCGTAGCTGGGTCTTCGCCGAGTCTGGGTGCCTCTCTGGCCAGGGCATCTTGGGGTAGGCTGTGAGGCAGTGTCCAGCGGGAGCCGTGGTCGTCGCATCGGGGCCTTGAACGGCCGGCATTGCGAACCAACTTTGCGCTAGAGTCGGGGAAACGTAAGACTCGACTAAGCCGGAGCTCGGTTTTGCCGACGTTTTTGACGAGGCGCCCTCTTGGATTTTGACGGTTCAGTTTTCGCGTTATGTTTGCAGCGGGAGTTCGCGTCCAATTTCGGAATGGGTGTCGTCATTTTCATGATGATTTCGTCAGGCCAACAACCCGAGTCCCCCGAACCCGAGTCTTACGTCTCCCCGACAGACGGGAAGCTTCGTTTTCAAAGAAGGCATAGACAGCGTCGCGGCGAGAGTGCTTGGAACCATTTCCGTAGATCAGCGTTTGCCATGCTTCAAACAGGGTGTTCGAAGACGACTGCGACGACGACCTCGACTGCGACCCAGACATCCGATGTCGTGATTTTCTCAATGCGCGGTCCTTGGAAGTCCCTCGAGGCCGAAAGCGCAAAACGAAAACGCATACGTTGGATCTTTTTGAGACGGCGACGATGGCGACGAGCGATGGCGACGACGGCTGCGGCGGCGGCGACGATGACGATGGCGACGACGACGATCACGACGACGACGGCGGCGACGGCGACGATGGCGACCCTGACATCCACTGATATTTTTTGTTCAGTCCGCGGCTCCGGAGGTCTCCGACCGATTCCCAGGGGATAGCTTTCCGCGTCACGTGCCCCTTTCGGATGGGCCCAGGGCCCAAAAATGCCCCCCCAGGGCTGAAGCCGAGGAAACACCGCTGGGATTGAAAGCATCAGATCGTCCGAGATCTGTCGACGAACGACGGCGCCGGCGCCGACGGCATCGACGACCGCCGACGACCGCCGGCCGGCGGCGACCTGTGACGGCCGAAGCGCCCGGCGCGGAGGCGTTGGCGCCGGGAGCAACTGGCCTGCACCCCAGCGAGGCGGCGAAGGCCGCCGGTGCCGTTTGGGCTGGACGACTTGTTAGTAGCGCGATGGCGGTTTATTGCGGCCTGGTTCCGGAAACTATCCAAGCAGGCCTAGCCACGAGGTTGCCGTTCACGTGGGCGGTCCACGCAAGAGCGCTGTCCCGCTAATCACCACATGAGCGACGAAAAAAACGGTGTCGTCTGCATCGCCATGGGCGCGTGAGCTGCCCGCGTAAGGTCGCGCGTAAGCGCTCTCGCCTCCAAGGCAGCGTGCCGCGCTGGCGGCCCGCGTAAGCCACCGCGTAAGGTCGCGGTACCATCGGGAGCTCGCGCCAAATTTCAGATTGGGCCTCGTCATTTTTGTTGATGGCCCCGTCTGGCGAACCCGAGTTCCCCGTACCCGAGTCTTACGTCTCCCCCGATCTTGGCAGGAATCACCGAGCGCGTTCCACTACTCGCAGAGTGTCTACTCGCAAACGTTCGAATCGATGTGTGTTGCCTCGATGTCATGGATCGTAAATCCCCCCGCGGCAGATCCAGGTCGAGCAGTCACTTTGCGAGTAGTGGAGCGCGCTTGTTTCAGGAAGACTCTGTCGACTAAACGTAAGAGTGGCCTCTCGCCAGAGTGACCTGTGGTGCGTGCCCAATGGGGTCCCCCGCTCGCTGAACGCGAAGCGGTAGCAGCGGCTTGCGCGCCCAGGTTTGGTCACCCCGCGTCCCCTATTAAGCCTCGCGTCAAAGGTCACCCTTACCTAGGCTTACTCTTGCGTGTAGCCGACTCCTGGTTGGCAGCGCACATGGCAGGAGGGGAGGCGTTGCCGGGGGGGGGTCGGCCCTCCAAGAGGGCGGAGGGGCGTTCTTAGACGGCAGGTGAGCGGCGCACAACACACTGGCGCGCAAGCTTCCCGCGTAAGGTCGCGCGTGACCGCTCTCGTCACGAATGCAGTGCTCCGCGCTGGCGGCCTGCGTAAGCCAACGCGCAAGGTCGTTGTGCCATCTTGCGTACGCCCCCCTTCTCTTCGTCGCCCAGTTGGCTTCTCGGGAGCCTCCCGGGCTTCTAAGAAGTCCTCTTTGAAGCCTTCAGGTGCTTCTTAGCAGGCCCCTGCCTTCTGAGAAAGCTCCCCGCCTTCATAGAGTGCCCCCCCCCTCGCTCCACCCCTTGTGCGCGCCTCCAAGTCGTGGGCGTCGCCGTCGTTGTCGACGTGGTCGTAATGGACGTCGTCGCGGCCGCCCCCCTGAGATCCTGGCGCTTCATTTTTCAACATCGGCGATTTAGCTGTGCTTCGGTCCCCAGGACCCTCACAGATCGACTCGGCTCGAGAAATGCCAGACGCAGTCCAGGGTTGTAGACGAGTTTCCCTCAAGTTTTTCGTGACGTCGGATCTCAGGGGACGTCTCGATCGTTTTCGTTGTCCCAGGGTTGTTGGACGTTTTCGTCGGTTCTTGGGGGGCTTTCTTGCCTCGGGATGCGCTCCGGCGGCGGCGCCTCGCCCGGAGGGGTCCAGAGTTGCCCGAGTCGCGAAGGATGGCAGCCAGAGACCCGATATAAATTCGATGGAAATACTCGTGGTGTTATGTCGTTCCAACTTACTTTTGCCATGATCACGCCCCCAACATGTACAGAAGCTCTGCGGTTTTCACGTGCCGGGCCCTGGGACACACACTCGTTCGACACTGTGTCGACACTGTTTCGACACGTTCCCGGGCGCTCGAAATTACCTCTGGGATGTGGTCCTCGAGTACGACGGGAGCAACACAGACGTCGAGGACCATTCGGCGGGCGGGCTCGGGGGTGGGATGCGTCGACTCCCAATCGCCCACTGCTCGCCGACAGGGGCCGGACGGCCCACCCCGACAAGGATCGCGCGGATCTGCTGTCGGGGCATAGTGCCGCCGAACTGCTGGCGAGGCCCATCGCCGAACTATCGGAGATGCACTGCGAATGCCAGCTCGATGCCCCCCGAGCCCGCCCTCCCCCCTTATCGTTGCCCCTCGTGGTCGTCGCGGACGTCGTCGTCGTGATCGTGGACGCGGTCGGCGCCTTCGCCGTCGTCGTCGACGTCCTCACGGTCGTCGTGGATTCCTCCCGCCGACGGCACGACGGCGTCGTCGTCGTCGTCGTTGTCGTCGTTTGCGGCGTTGTCGTGGTCGTGGCTGCGTGGGTGTCGTGCTCCTGGACGCGGAGCGCCAGGGCGGTCGCGGAACGTCCCCGGCGGTCCAGTTGCCCCGCCTTCTTCTTGTTTTCGGCATGCGCGCTACAGCGTTGGGAAAAAGTATTTTTCTCAACTGCCCCCCCCAGATTTGCTTGTTCTTCCAACTGCGTTATATGAGGGGCGCCGCCCAGCAAGGAAGCCTTGCGCAACGGCGGCCCGGCAATGGATATCACGGGCAAGCAGACGGATGGGCACCACTGCGGCCTTAGACGAGGTGGAAGGGGGAGCGCCATGTCGGGCCCGGCGAGAACATCGAGAAGCACATGTGCTGGCCCCGTCCACCGCGTCGTCCGTGTCGGCCTCGTGAGACGAGAGATACCCATGATGCCACTCCACGGGCCCTCTCCCAGGGCGTTTCCTGGCCAGGATCTCGGGTCGGAGCCAGCCGTGGCGACGAGTGGAAGGACAGCGGCATCGGTACATCGTGTCCTCCTCTGACGATCGTTCGGTGTTCGTCGCTCCGAACCCCCAGAGGCACCAACCGCTCGCCCAGGAGCTAGTCTTTCGTCCTGAATCCGTTTCTGAGGGTCCCGGGGCCAAATGACGGGCCCCAGTGGCGGAAACCGAGCATCAGGAACTAGCTGACGAACTTCGATCAGGGGCTCAAAAATCGACCCCCAGACCTCTCCTGGCGTGCGCTCCGGCCAGACTTCGGGTGCGGAGCCAGCCGCGGGGGCGAGAAGCCGCAGGGAGGGCCTCAGAGCCGCGACACTTGAATATCGAAGTTTGAAGCTCGATCCTCGAAGATCTGCGTCGTCCGTCATTGGCCGCCCGCCGCTCGCCGCAGTTGGCCGTCCTCCGCCTGCGGCGCCGGCCGCTCCGCCGGCGGACAGGCCGTGATGCCGTGCCTGCGGGTGGTGTCCCGGGCAGGGAGGCGGCTGCTGGTGGCGGCGCAGGAGTGGGGGGTCCCTAAATTCGGGGGCGGAAAAGAGGGGGGTGATGACTAGGGGGGGGTGGATCTCATGGCGTGGGCCATGATATTTCCCCAGATTTCATGGCGCCTCTTCTTATTTCATTACGTCCCTGGCCCCCCCGCGAGGCCGCGCACATGCCGCCGGTCATGATTTGCACCCCTCCTCTTGGACACCCCCCTCTTGGCCGCTCCCGATAAACGGGGTGGTGATCACACCGTGCGGTGAGTCGGTGGGGATTCGGGGTCACCGCACGGTTGTCGGGCTCGAGGCCCTCTCCGAGGACGCCTCGGGCGACCGGGGCATCCGAGGTCCCAGGGCCGTGCGTTGACGGACCGCGCGGCGAGGTCTTGGGGGATTTTGAGTTAACCGCACGGTCTGCCACCGCACCGTTTCGGGACTCCAAACAGGAGGCGGTGGCGCCGCCGAGCGTGGCCAACGAGGCCGGCGGGCGCCGCCCACCCTGGAGTTCGAGTTTCGGGGATGGAAGTTCGAAGCCAGATCTCGGCCACATCGGACCAAGCAAGGCGGCGTTCTGTTGATCAGTTTTCGGCCACGGGGGGGGGGGGCTGGCGGAGGTGTTTCACAGGTTTCGGCCTCTCTGGGCCCTGAGACCGTCAGAAAGCGGCCGTGCGTGAAAGGCCGATGGGGGAAAGTCCGGGGATTCCGTATTGAATGATTAAGGCATGGGATCTTTGGGGATCGAATTTGGAATTTCGAAGGTTAATGTTTTTGTCTCTCCTGTTCTTGTCGGTTTTCTCGCTTCGGCATGTTCTCCAGCAGCCGCGCCTCGCCAAGGGCGTGCTGGGGGCGCCAGGGTCGTCCCGAGTGGCCGCCAGAGGTCCCAGAAGTGGCCCGAAAGCCAGGATCGGTGACGATGTGTGTTCTTCTCAATCCTAGCGCCTGTCCTCGATGTCGGCCATGGGGTCCGTCATCGGGCCCCGTGACCTGGTGCAGTGGATAAGTTCATGGGCAACGATAGGGTCGGGGGGGGATAGGCATACGGGGGGACGCATCGACCCCGAATCGTCCGAATCGCCCATGTATCGTCGATCGGAGACGGGCAGCCCCAACCCATCCAGCAGGAAGGCTCGGTTTTGCGATCGGGGGCCTGTCGCCGAATTATCGACGATGTATCGCCGATTGCAGGTCGATGCGTCCCCCCCTGTGCCAGTCCCCCCCGTCGCTGCCCCTCAAAGGTGGGTCCGGTACGAGAAAGAAGGAGATGGGGGTCAATGCGAACGGAGGTCACCTAGACCGCCAGATCTTGCGGGGTCTTGCAGGGCCAGGGTCGCATTGACCGGGTCTTGGGTGCAGGATCCTGCAGGACTTTGTAGGATCCTGCAGGTCCTGATTGACCCAGGTCTGGATGGACCCGGGTCAGAAGATCCCCGATTTGGAAGCGGTCTGGACTGTTGGGAGTGGCTCGGCGTCGAAGACTCTCTCGAGAGATCGCAGGGCCGAGGTTTGTTCCCTCCTCCTCCTCCTTGGCCATTTTGGCGCAAGACTAAACGAGGGGAAGCAGCAAGGTTGCGAGGTAACCTGATTAGTCTTGGAGCACGCATTGGCACGATGGCTCGAGTCTTTCTGCGATCGGCGGACAGGCGGCCACGGCATCGCACGCTCACTTTCACAAGACCTACTCTCGACGGCCTTTCCTCTCCCGCGCCCGCACTGCCATAGTGTAATATGGTGGCAAGAGCGCGGTGGCGTGTGGCGGTGGTCGGCCGGCCCCATGTCCGACGACAGTGACCGTGACAAAGTTTTACACACAGGTGCAGCCGCGGCGAGACGACGCCGACAAGACCATGAACGCCATGCCGATCGACGCAATGGGTGCTGCGCCCGAGACGGACGCGATCGAGAACGAGATCGCGACGATCGTGAACACGACAAGGATCGACAACGACAGCGCCGATCTGGACGTGCACTGGCCCCCGCTGCTGCTCAGTCCCGACGTGTTGAACAGTTTCCTGTCCCTCCTGCTGCTGTGAATCCTGCTGCTGATCCCGCATTTCGCGCCGCCCGTAGTCTCGAGGAAAACCTGGGAATGGTGTCTACTTTCACAGAAAGTGAATTGGAGGGCGCTTGTGGTGGCGCTGCACGCGCTGCAGGTTTTCCTGTTGGCGGCACGGCTACACCCATTGGCATGGACCCGCTGCAGGCTAACGGCCCGTGGCGGGGCGACCCTTGCATGCAGAGGATGAAACAACGTTTTCGTGCTGCTGTTCGTGTGGGTGCGTAACCCGTTCGCAACGCAGCTGCTGCCTTTTTCTGCGGCTGCCGCAGCCGCGGCAGCAACCAACCAGTGGTTGGCCATCGTCGGAGAACTACGAACTACCTTCATGCACGGACAAGCGCGCTCACCGGCAACTGGACGCAGCTGTTCGAGAGGTTCACGTGATGAGCCAACGTCAGGAAGTAGTGACCGTTGCCCAAGCGACCATGTGCTCCGAGGTGGACGACACCCGTCGGCAGCTGGCCACGTCACAGGGACAGGGTCATCGATTCGCGTATCTTCGCCGTGGGAGGCTCCTGCCGCTCCTCAAGCTGTTCGTGATGCTTCAGCTTCATGGATCAGCGATGCCAAACTCCAGAATGACCATGTGGAGCTCATCGGCGACGTCGTGGCAAGGCGGTTCACCGTGCGAGTGCTGGGCTCCAAGGCTGAGGCCAGCGCCCGCGCTTCTGTTTTGGTCAGGGGGCTGCGCGCTTCATCGGGCTGGCGCTCATTCGTGGTGCTCTCGTCGGAAAGGGCAAGTTGTTGGTAGAGAAGTACCCTGCTCCCACGTAGCGGCGTCGGCGTGCTCAAGACCAGATCCAGGTCAACAGTATACACCACGCGCATCATGTGGAACCTTCATGCGACCAAGCAGTTCAACATCGACAAGATGGAGGCAGCTTTTTTTCTGAAGCTTTCTCGGCGACGGACGTCCAGTGGTCAGGGTAACATGTGCTGGGCCCTTTGGGGGCCGCCCCAGCGCGACGCATCGCGCGGCCCCCATCTCATCTGCTGGAATGCGCGCAGCATCCTCTGCATGGGAACTCGGAAACGCGATGTAAATATGCGACCCCTATCGGAATATACGAGGCAACGTTCTCTCATCGCTCTTCAAGCGGTTCGTTTGGGCGAACTTTGACGGCAAGGTCTGGTGGAACATGCACCGCATGCTTACGATCGATTCCTCTCGGCAACCGACGCGTCGGCTTGTGGAGTGGCGCGCGTGGTCCCTGGGCGCTTGCGACGTTCCTCTGCGCCTGGCGCTCTGAGGCCGGCGCGCGATTTGCGCGCGGTTTGGCCGCGCGGCCAGACTCTCGATCTTTTCTCGGCTCGTCCCCGTTGCGCGCGCGAGCTCGACATGCGCGATCATGGGCTTTCCGCGGTTGAAGTACTTGGAATCGAACATTTCTGGCCCCGGCAGGTCGCGCGCGAGCGACAGCGCGAGCGCGCGCGCAAGTTTCTCGCCCGGGGACTTCAATCTCCCTGAACCCCCACTTCGCGCCCCCACCTCAGCCGCCGCCAAGCCTGTCAGAGATTGTCGCGGCCAGCGCGTGCGATCCCGAAGGAAACGCATGCTCAGCACAGCAGCCGAGCTTTCGAACGGCGAGCCCACGCGATGTGAATCAGAGCACCAGCGGGTCTCTAGCATTGATCGGTTATTCGTTTCTGGCCATGCCTTTCAGCTCGTGGTCCTCGACGTCACCTTGCAGGCCGCTCGCGAGCGCGCGCGCCGGTCTGACCGCGGGCCGTCGGACCACGCGATGCCATTGCTTATGATTTGGTCGGCGGCTCCACGGGGCACGCGGGAGCGGGCGGCGCCGTCGTGCCTGTTCAAGAGTGAAGAGTTTCGCTTTACGTCCACATCCATGCCATCGCGATCAGCGGCTCCCCATCTCCGCTTGGCTAGGCGCCGGGGATGTCATTCGCCACGCGGCCGGTGTCGCGCGCGACCGCTTGCAAGGCCCAGCGTGCATCCAGTCGGCTCATCCCGACGTTCCCGTCGCGCGCATGTATTCCTTTCGGCCCGCGGCGCGCGCGGTGCGGCGTGGCAATGTCCGCCCTTCTCTTCGCTTTCTCGCCATCTCTCCTCTTGCTTCCTCCCACCTCGTCGTCGACGGGGTCGGCCGCCTCCTGGGCCTTCCCCCTTCCACGCGCAGTGCGACGCTGCGGATGACGGGGGGCGCCAGCTCTGATCGTTGCCGGCCAGTCACTGGCCAGCATCGATCAGAGCCCACACTGCCGCCAGTCGCTGGCCAGTCACTTGAGAGGCGCCCACGCTGGCCGCCAGCATGGGCGCCTCGCAGGTCGATGAATCCGGTCATCACAGTGACGAGATATTCCATAGCGAGATCGAACGCAAGGCTGCGGGGCGCGCGCGTCAATGGGCACCGCGGGCTCGGCAGTTGCGCCCGGGCGGCGCGCCCGCCCATGTCCGATTAACGATCCAGTTACTTCATTGAGGTCTTCCTCCGCGCCAGCGAGCGGGGGCGAGCGCGCTCGCGGCCATTCTGGCGCAGGGCGTTGCCGCCAGAATATGATTCGCCGCCATCATTAGACGAGACTGATTACTACTGCGTTGAGGAAAAGATCTCATCTGCTTCTGCATCAGCCGCAGGGCTGACCATCCTCCGATGACTTTAAACCAGAAAATTGGTTGCGGAGCTGGTCGCGCACTTGCGCGGCAAGCTCTGTTGCATTCCTCCGCGGCGCCATCTGGATGCCCCAACTTGGATCACCCTACGCTGGCGTCTTTTCGGAGAACAGGGCTGGCAAGCTGACGCGTGCGAGCGGGCAGCGGGCGAAATGCTCAGCAGAGAGCCGATGTCTAGCATTGGGTCTATTGTTGCTAGTGCATCGACCCCACCTACCAGCCAGATGCCTACTTCGATCATAGGCAAGTACAGCACGGCCCCACGTCACTACGCTCCGCGCAATGCGCGCACGAAGCCTGGCAACAGGTTCAGTCACGCCGACTCGCCCAATGGTCAGTGCGCCAAGACCCCTGCGTCGTCTAACAAACGGACGACCACCACCAACAGAAACCGCAGAAACAGCCTGGGCATATACCTGCGGTCGCTAGCTTGAGATCACCAGATGCGGCATCATATGGGTTATCTTGGGGCCGGGGGCAGGGTGCAAGGAGCGCGGCGCAGGTGGCGCTGCACTCCTAGAGGGCTTCGCTGGGGCCCTGCGGGCAACGTGCCCGTCAGGACCTACGTCGAGGAGCCCCGCGCGCGGCTTGGCGTCGACAGCTGCCGTTCCACACCGCACCATCCAACGATGCTTCGCAGGACTGTCACGAGTCATTGCAATGCGCATACCGCCACGTAACATCAAGTTCGGTGCATATACGAACTGTGTTAGAAACGATAGAGTGGCATATCTATAATGCAGATGTTGAGTCATAAGTTCGGGCGCTTAGAAGGCGGGCGTTCACACGTCTCAGGCACGCGACGAGTTGAGTTGATCGTGCCTTTTGGAGAACTGTTCGGCGCGACTTCTGCTAGATTCGAGATGGCCAGGCTGGAGGCCCAATCGATTGAATGCCCCGCCCAATTTTGCAGTTCCTAACCTCGATCTCATACCGTGCCCTTCAGGTAGGGGCCGTCCGATTATCGCAGATGCCACAGCCGCTAAACCACCATCTACTTGGGGCCCAGATGCCATGCGATTCACTGCGTCAGCGAATGCGATCATTCGACCACCTTGCCAAACGACCCCCTGGGAACATAGATGGGGCGCTTGGGCGGGCGGCAGCGCGCCGCGCTACTCCCATTTCCAAGCAAGCAATGCATTCCTTAGCGGTAGCGGTGCCGAGACACGCGTTGGCCGCAACATGCGGTCATACAACGCAATGGAGGGCGCAGCCCTGCACGCGGGCTGGGCGCTTGGCTGCTGCGCTTCTGACGGCGCGGATGGGACTTGGACGCCGCCGACTCACCCATTTTTTTTTGTTGCTACCACTCGCTCCCAGGGGGCCAAGATGGCCAGGCCGAAGCAAATGCGCCATTCGATTCTGGCGCGGACACCGACGCCGAACCAGCACGCGGATTTGGACCAACACGTCAATCAGATATACACGCGCATCTCACGGATGCTTGGAATTCTGAATTCGTATATTTTCTTTGCGTCACGCAAAGAGGAGGTGGCGGAGGTGCGCGAAGCATCCTGCGCGTCGCGCGCGAAGATATCATACGCGCTGTGCGTGACAGAGGGCGGAGAAAGGGCAATGGTGGACATAGGAGGAAGTTACGCGGCAAAGGCGTCGCATCATCCATAGCGTCCTGGCCCGAAGAAGAGCGCGACCACATGTTCTTTAGATGGGGGGCAAGGGCATGGGTCGTCGTTCCAACGGGCGCAGGAGTTGCAGACAGTTGAACCCCATTGGCAAGGGTGGGCGTCGCACGCTGCGCAGCGCAGGCTCTCCCCCCGGTAATTTAGCACCGCGGCGCAGCAGGAGGGAAGGAAATGGAGATGGGGATTGTGCGGCGCCTTTTGGTTCAGCATCGTCAGAGTGCGTCGACGCGACCAACTCTTTTCAGACAGCGAACCTGCGCATTTAAAATGTATCTTCTCTCGCAGCGATTGACAGGGATTCAGGGGCAGTCTGTGCGATTCTCTTGCGCCGAACTTCCAGGTGCTCACAGCGTTCGAACAATCGGCTGGATTTGGCGACGTGCCTCAGGCGCGCCCGGCATCGAGCTGGAGCGCGGCGACGCGATGGAGATCGGAGAGCCGATGACGCAAGGCGTCTCGCCACCTACTCCGTCGTCGCCCCGAGCAGCGACTGCGGCGGCCGCCCGAGAGGAGATCGACGCGGGCTCGGCAACGGGGTTGGACAACAGATTCTTGAGATTTTACCTAGCGACGGCAACGTCTACCCAAACATACTGGGCAATCCGCAGGCCCTGTCATCACCTCACCATCTACCGCCAGACGCGCTCGCGAGTCAGCCTCCCTGTCAGCGCGCGCAGCAAGGCGTTCTAAGCGCAGCAACCCGCCTGGCAAAGGTCACGGGCGAAGGCGTCTTGAGGCGACGTCCCAGCAACCCGACGGCGATCCGAGTGGACAGCCCATGCAGCGCAAGGGTCCTTGGCACGCGCGTCGGACGAGGCGACGGCATTGGTGATTAACGACAGCGAAAGACGCGCCCCGCCCGCGCTGCCAGTGGATGCGCCCGACCACTTCACGAATGCACCGATCACCGAGGACGAGGCGCCGAAGTGCCGGGCCAACTGGGAGCCACCCACAATGAGGATGAGGTTACCAGCGCTCATCTACTAGATGGGACGGCATGGCAACATGCACGAGACCATGCCAGAGTCAGAGCGCAAAGATGCCGCATATGCGGGCACGTCATGCGCTGGCGAATCAGCCCCAAAGGATCAGGCTGTTGTTTGGCAGGACCAGCTTGCTATTCGACCCCGGCTGCGAGATAAATGTAGTGGGCGCCAACGCGTCAGATCTGGTGCTCAACCGCAAGTCCTCCGAGTGGACGGGCAAGGAAGCGACCGCCAGGGCTGCGCGTCCACGTCTCAATGTCAATGGGGCCGGGGAGGGAAGTGCATCATGCGACGCTCATGGTGTCACCCCGATCGCGTGCTCGGGCCAAGACAAATGCAGGAGGATACCTAGTCTGCGAACATCGCCACTGGCTGTTGTATTGATTTGCTTGTTGGCTTTTGCCTTGAGTCGACTCAAGACAGGACGGTCATCGTTCTGTTTCGACAGCGGCACGCACGGTGCAGATCATGCCCGTGAACGAGCCCTAGAAGTTGTGCGTGGGTCGGGGTGCTAAAGTCATGAAGATGGAGAAATACAGGTCCGGGCACTTCTGCATCCCGTGCGGAGAGTAGAATGCACGACCACGTGCGGAGGACCACCAGAGGCCCGACAGTAGCCTCGCCTTTTTCGCGGTGGAGGGTGCGGCATCGCCGTACTCTGGCGCAGCAGCTCGACGACAACATCAGGCACCGCGATGAGAAAGCCAAATTCCAGGTTGGACAGCCAGGACGCTGGCCAGGCCGCTGTGTATCACTACGTCGGTGATTCGGGCGGGCAGGGCGGCGATTGGCCCACGCCCGCCTTGCAAACACAGGGGCCTACACTCAGCGCGGATACGCTCGCGCACTTCATTCCGGAGCATTTGATGTCGAGGACCAGCGAGAGGCTACCTCCATTTTCCGCCAACAAGGCTTCTTTGTTCGATCGTATCACACATCAGGAGACCCTGTCAGCACAGCGCACCCTGTATTCAGGCGGCTACCTTTCAGGTGACCCTTTCGTCGTCGTCGTCGTGTTCATCGTCGTCGTCGTCCTGGCCCTTTTCCTCGCCCGGTTCACACTCCTGGCGGCTCGAGCTTTTGCGAGACGGGGCGACGGCGGGGAACGACGGCGATTTGCGACGGAGGGAGGCGGCGGCCGCAGCGACGGCGAATCCAAACCTCCAGCAGTCAAATTTCCAGCCCCGGCGTTTTGTTCGCGAGGAGCGCTCGGGAGCCTTGAGACGTGGGTCGATGCAAACGGGGGTCAGCCAGAACGCCTGATCTTGCAGGATCCTGCAAGGCCAGGGTCGCATTGACCCGGGTTTGGGTGCAGTTTCCTGCAGGATCTTGCAGGATCCTTCGCATTCATCCGGGTTTGGGTGCAGGAATTGCAGGATCTTGCAGGATTCTGCAAGGCCTGACTGACCCTGGTCTGGATTGACCTGGGTCAGAAGACCTCCGAAGCGCCCAAGGCACGTTGTCCGTCCCAAGAACCTTTTCATGCGGGACACGGGTAGGGAAACGGGTCTGGAAATTTTCGCAGTTTTTTGGGGTTCATGGGGCTTGCCACGGGCCCCGAGACAGTCAGGAAACGGCCCAAGGGATGAATATCTCGTCCACGGGAAGGCCCCAGGGTCCAATCCGAAGCCTGGAGATTTTGGCACCGTTTTTCTGCCGACGTCGGATTTCACGGGACGCGAGGCGGGCGGGAGGGTAGAGGGGGGGCGGATGGTAAAAGAAAGCGTTGAAGGCGAAAGGGGAGAGTGAAGGGGGAAAGGAAGGAGGGACGAAGGAGGGAAGGAAAGGAAGAGGGAAGAGGACAAACGAGGTGCGCTCGCGCCATATATGATGTCCTCCCCCTCCCTCCCAACTAGGCCCATTGCGCTGATGTTTTCTCTATCCGCGGACGTGTGCCATAGCTGTTCTGGAACGCCACAAAAACCAAATCGTGTCGTCCGCGGTCCGAAAAATCAGGTGGGACCTGTGAAACCTTGAGGGCCTCTGTGGCCTCTTGGGCCTGCGAGACCTGCGACACCTGTAGGACCTGTGGGACCTGTTGGGCCTGTAGAAACTATGGGACCTGTGAGACCTGCGTGAGACCTGCAAGACCTGTGAGACCTACGAAACCCGTGGGGCCCGTCACACCACCGGAACTTTCAGGACTTGAGGGGCCTCCCCTGGGACCCGCGAGACATGCGACACTTTTGGGACTTGTGGGGCTTGCGGGACCTGTCGGACCTGCGGGACCTGCGGGACCTGTAGGGCATGCGAGACCTGCGACACTTGTGGGGCCCCTGGAGCGTGTCAGGCAGGTGGTACCTGTGGGACCTGTGGGACGACCTGCGACACTTCGGGGTCCTGTGCGACCACTTGGGCCTGCGAGACCTGTGGGACCTGCAAGATCTGTGGGATCCAGACTAGTGGCCCACGCTGTGGCGGGAGCGCCATTCTGAACGACGGAAGCAGTGCCCATCCAAAAAGGAGGCCAGCGCTGCAAGCGAGAGCACTATAGTTGAACACGTGTAACCAATATGCTGGTCACCGAAACAAATGAGATTAGAAAACATCAAGATGTCGCGCAAGTCCTGTGCGTATGTAAGTAAACACGACGTGGATGGGGGCGAACACTCAGGACACATTCGGGGGAGAGAGGAGGATAGTCTTCATATAGTGGATCGGAGGGAAGGGAGGGGGAAGGAAGAAGGAGCAGGAAGGAGGAACGGAGGGAAGAGGACGAGGGAACGAGAAAGAGGGAAAGGAGGAGGAGGAGGAGGAGGGGAGAGGAACCAGGAGGATGCCAGGAGCAAGGAGCAGCCTCAGCCTCGAGGAGGAGGGACAAAACAAAGTCCGCCCTTCCGGAGGTCGTGCCGCTGGTCGCCGAGCTCGGCAGGCTCTCCGCGGGGTACCGCAAGGCGCAGCGGGCGGTCGTCTACGAGAAGCAGCAGCTGAGGCTGCCGGGGGCACGACGTCGGTCGCGGGCGGCGAGGAGGGCGGCGAGGAGGGAGGGAGGAGGGAGGAGGGAGGGAGAGAGAGGGAGGGAGGGAGTAGGGAGGAGGGATGAGGGAGGAGGGAGGGAGGGAGGGAGGGAGGAGGGAGGGAGGCAGGGAGGGAGGGAGGCGGCACGGCTGCACGGTTCGGGTCAATGAGGTTTGGTCGGGCGTCTCGGCAGGCTCCTGAAGGTTTCTCCCTGCTCTGGGCACCTTCCAACAGCTGCGTCTCGTCGAGAGCTATCCGAGGGGGTCCGGATCGGTCCGAATGGCCGCATGAGGCTCGAGTACGGTTCAAGAACCACCAGGCGTCGAGGGAGGGCGGGTGAGGACTCTGGGTGTTTGGATATCCTGGCCTTGGTTGGCTATGAAATCTCCCGGGTGCCATGGCCCCCACTTCTTCTTTCAATACATATTTTGCCCCCCCCACACACACCCCACCCCCCTCTACTCCTCGTTCGCGCACATGCCTGTGCTCTTGGCATCGCTCGGACGTGTGCATTTTTTCTCGGCGAGAACCATCGAGGACCATCCTGGACCATCGAGCAAAAAAAACACGCACGGAGCCGAAAAGTGCACGGGAGATGGACGTCCGAGCGACGGCAAGGTGCTAAGTCCCCTCTTCTGGCCCTCCTCTTCAGCGCACCCGAGATAGGGGGATAGGCTCAGGGGGGAACCCAGATCGTCGGCTATATGATGTGGTCGTTTCTATCCCAGCGTG